GACAAGGCAGAAGAAATCAGACACGTTCCTTTCCGCCCTCCCTCTGGGACAGGGTTAGGTGACAAGGTTCTTCCGTCTGACCCCAGCTCAACTTGGGTTTCTCCAGGGTATTTTCCTTATTCTTCCCGACGCTTTAATTAAGGAAGGAATCACTGAAACCAAGTTCCTGAATAAGTCACATAATATAACAACCACCACCACCATTGCCACACATACCATTATAGTTGGGGAAACAGGCTCAGGGAGGTTAAGTCAAACCCAGCTGGCAAGTTAGCAAAGCTAGAAATCTGAATGAAAGACATTGGATTCCAAAATCCATGATTTTAAACACTGTGTTAGAATGTTTCTCACTGAAGTTAAAGGACACATTCTGCTTCCCAAAATGTTTCTCGAAGATCAGATTTTAGGTGGGGAAGAAGGTGAGGCCCATAGTCAGCTATTGTAAACACTTGGAGGAGTGGAGACGGTGTGGGTATAAGCTGACCACTGGGTCCCTGCTGCCAGCTGCCCAGCTTCCAGGCCTTTTTCACCCAAGATCTCCACTCCTGACACAGGACTACCCCAGGAAACACTGAAATGAAAGGTAAGCTAGACTTGGTGACATGGGGCATCGCCAAAAACACCTGAGAGCCCTGGCCGGTAAGAGTCATGGGTTCAATTCCCAGTCAAGGGCACATACTTGGGTTGCAGGTTTTGATTTCCAGCTTATTGGGGTGCAGGAGATAACCAATCGATGTCTCTCTCTCAAATTGATGGATGTCTTATCTGTCTCTCATCTCCCTCCCACCCTATCTAAAAATCAATAGAAAAAAAAATATCCTTGAGTGAGGATTAATGACAAAAATATTTTTTAAAAACTGAGAAATGACCCCATCCCTGAAATGCTTGACCTTGACACACAGATGCATTTAAATGGAAAAACAAACTTGTTCTTCCTCTCACCCTGACGTGCCAGGCCTCACTACTGGGAAGTCTCCTACCCAAAACCCTCTCATTGGTTCTCACAACTCTTTCAGCACTCTCCTTCACCCATCTCTGGAGGCCTCACTGACCATCAGCCCCTGGACTTCAAGGCTGCAACATCTGAGGCTTCATCCCTCAGAAATGCACCGAACGTTTTCAGCAGGACTCTGCTGAGGATCTCAACGCCTGTGAGGATTAAACAGCCGGCTGAAGACTAGCAGAAAGAACCACCAGAGTTAGAAAAGCTAAATCAGGAGGTATAGAATGGACAAAACGACAAGAGGACAGAGCACAGAGCACACATGGACTAACCTTGGGTAAATAAACAGAACTGTCACAGGACAGAAAAGTAAGAAGATCCAAGCTGCACTCTCCACTCCAAATCTGAGCCTTTCAGCTAATCTTATTACCTGCTCACACATGCGGCAGGGGCCTCGGTGCCTTCCAGGTAACTAAGCTGTACTGTGGGGGAATCAATGTTGCTGGGAGGCCCAGAAGCCCTTTCTGGGGAGACCAGGTGCTCGGAGAAGCCTGGAGGAAGAGCTCTGCTTTCTGCTCGTCCCCCCCTTTCCTCAACAGCCTCTAATACTGTCCTCACAGAGTGCACAACCCATGCTCTCGTAACTTCTGGTGGTTTCCTCTCCAACTAGGCAGAAGCTCCTAGAAGATAAAGACCAGGTTTCCTCCGCTCTGCAGGGTTGGAATGTAATAATTACTTGCCACGGGTTGGGCACCTAGAGAGTGTTTTACAAAAACATTTTTCACGAACAGCACATATCAAAAGTACTCCATTGTTATTCTTTGCCCTATGGTCCACTTGACACCCATTTCTCCGTGCTGGCTCGTGCCTGTACGTGTTCCTGTGTCCACCTTAGGCTGGGGACTGGGCCCATCTCATCTGTCAAGAAATGCCACCTCAGCCTGCTTGTGGGAACAATAAAAGGGTGTATCTCTGGGGGGCAAGAGGGTCTCCCCACACTGGCTGGCCCACTGATAAGGATCCTTCCCCTCTCTGTCTCCTAACAGATTCAGATTAATGATGGCTCATTCCTAATTGTCAAATTTCTTTTCCTTCATCCTGTGTCTAATCACCAGTGACAGAAACCATTACGCAAATGAGTGCAGACGACGTCCCCCAACTGTTCGCGTTGGTAAAAACCTTGTAATTTAGAGCTCTGATTTGTAGGGGAAGCTGGTCTCCCCCAGGCATCCTGGGCATCTGCTCAACTGATGCCCACAACAGCCCCTCCTCCATCCCCCAAACTCCAACCCCCCAACAAGTATCTGACTTCACAAAAGAGTAGTTTCCTCTGTACCCACTGGTGTAAAAATGGGAGCCTGCAACACGCTGACCTCCATACAGGCATAAACCCCCACCTCCCCATGGTGTCTGCCTCCACAATAGGGGCAACACAGCACAAATGATTCCTCTGTCCCAAGTAAAATTTGAGCCCAAATGGCCCTAACCTAGGCAAGTATGGCCAAGAGACTCAACCTCCTCCTCGGGGGATAAGGAGACAGCGGAACATGAAACAAGGTTCTTAGTGGGCACCTACAACTAGGTCTTCAATTCTATCGATGCAGAAGCAAGCTGGAAAGTTATGGAACCTCCTCAAGGACACATTAGGAACACAACGGGATCTAGAACTGTCTCCCCATAGCTCCTTGCAGCACTCTGAACTCATTATATGGTTTCCCAGCAGTTTTCCCCAGATGTCTTTAGCTGGAGCCCAGGAGAGCTGTCACCCACTGCTTTACCTTCTGTACTCTCTTGGGCTAAACTTGCCAGCACCAGTGTCCAGTGGAATGAGATCTGAGGTACAAGGGAGGAGGTAAAAGAATCAACACTGGTGGAAAAGGAGCAGCAGGGGGTTTGTAGCCAAATGGCACAGGTTGGAATCCTAATTGCCACAAATCACTTAACCTCTCTAAGCCATTTCTTTAGCTGTAAAATGAGTGCATCTATCTTGCAGGATAGTGAGGAACAGAGAAAAGCATTAGGCACACGTGAGGTGTCTGATAATCAGGGGTGACTATTACCCAACGATCACAACCAATCCTGTGCAGGTCCCACAGTGTCAAGCCTCCCATTCCCTGTAGGTCAGCACAGCACCCAGCCAAGGACCAGCTTGAGGGGCACACACCTCCCTGTGGCATACCACCCATATCTTTGAAAGCTGATCCAGGAATGCAGCAGACCCGCTAAGGAGAACAAAAACAATCTTCTATCTTTCAAAGTGTGGTTGTGATCAAATTTATCCTCCGTTTGCCTTGGCTTCTTTGTGTGGTCCTCTTTCCCAAAAAGACGGACAGATGGAGATCACGGCAGTCACATTTTCCAGCATTGGCTATATTTGAAAGTACTACACTTGAGAAAGTACCGTGTTTGCACGCACACACATTGCATCAGAGAACCCAGAATCGGGTACTAAAAATAAACACCCCTCCCTAAAATACACACACAGATGCACACGTACAAACACACGCATCCTCAGTCCATCAGTGCACTGGAACTGTAAACTGAGCTTTGGGGGTAAGAGCTGACACTGGAAGTAAACCTTTGGTAGGAAAAAAGAAAAAAATACATAAACCCAAATACTCCAACTCTTCTTTCCTTCCAGAGAGAAGGGACTTGAGATGGAAGTGAAGGTGACAAGACACAGGGCCATCACACAGCCCAAGTCCATTGAATAGATGTGAATGATGGCCCTTCGAGTTGTGCAGTGCACAGCTGCCCAGTTGTAAGCTGCAGCCCTGAGGGGTTCCCCTAAGTATGATAGCTGTGAAAAGGAAATTATACTTCGGTGCTCCACCAGTTGCCCTGACTTTTGAGGGTATTCGTGGAACATTACAGTGGGGTCTGGCAGAGGTGCTGGCTTTAAGAGACAAGGCTACATTTTTGTCCTTGCCATGAGGTGGATGACAGGTGTTGAGGAAGCTTGACCCCATTTTGTCTACTGAGCCAGGAAGCTCCACGGACGCACAGCATGTAACCTGCCTAGCCAGAAAAGGTTTAGCCAGTCAGCCTCAGGCAGGTTGCAGTGAGACAACATCCAATGGCTGAAACTGAGTTTAAAATCTTTAGGTTAAAACCCTGGGGTTCCCACTGCAGTAGAGTTAAGCAGCAGGGAGACTTGGTAAGCAGAGAGGCAGGCCAGTGTGAAAATGTGTGCACACACACATGCACACACCACACTGCACAAAGGTGTGCACCCATAGAACCTAGAGAAGCCAATGCTAGGACTCCCTTGGTGCTCAGCACAGGGAGTAAGAGCTGGTGCTGAAAGAGAGGAGCTTATGTATCTGCAATTTGAAACTTATGCACAATCCTTGGTTCTTGAGTCCCAAGGCTCTTTTCTATGTATGGCTTGAGCATGAAGGTCCAAGTTGGAACCTAATTCTCACTCATAGGAAGCTCTCCAGGCTCTCAAAGCAAGCCTCCTTCTCACTCTCCCCAGTAGAGTCCCAATAGCCAACCATTCCCACCTACCCTAGAACCTGATTCTGTGAAACCTGAAGGAAGCCGACCAACCTAAACATCAGGAGAGCTCTGGCCCTGTAGCCCTGATGTGGCGGGCATCCAAGAGCATCTCCTCTGTCTCAGGCTGAGGCACGGAGGTTGCAGGAGATAGGTCTGAGCCAGAGTGGGGTCCTGATCCAGAAGGGCACAAGGAACAGAGACTCACGTGGGTGTGCATTCACACACACGCATACACACATCCCAAGGTTGACGGACTGGCACACACAGGCATGATGAAAACCAGAAGCTGGAACTCCACACACTGAATGCAGAACTTTAGGGGGGCAGGGAGAGAAGGTGCTGGGGCACAGAGGCAAGGGCACGAAGTCCCTCCAAATGGGAGTGGCTTTGCCAACCACCATGCCTTGTCCCAAACACCTGCCTCCAGGGCCATGGCAAGAGTCCAGTCCATTAAGTGCTTCGTGCAATACTAGTGCTTGGAGTCTCCTGTCCTCATCAATGAAGCGGTGTGGATGAGCTAGCAGTCACCTGGCAGGAGGCCTCAACTCCTGGCAGGCTAGTTGTATCGGCCCTTGATCATTGTGTTCAACAAGGGCCCCACCTGCAAAAAGACATGAGGAGCCAGTTAGAACTGCCTGTTCCCAGACCCCGGAGAGGACAGGGGTGTGACTAGAAACATTCAATGTCTAGCCAAGGGCAAGGAGAAGGCTTTCATTCAATCTTGTAAACCCTCTAACCAACTCTTCCTAAAGGTCAACCCAGTGTTCTCTTCTTTGTGTCCATTGTGTATTAGCTTCCCTCTCACAATACCCTGTAAGCAGCACCAAACTGACAGACAGAAGGTCAGAGGACTAACAATCCTCAAATACCTAAGAGTGTTTGCATGTTTCTTAAATGTGTCTTAAGAATGTTACATGCCTTTATATACTGACAAGAACGCCTGCAAATTGAGGGTAATGCCATCTCGAAAGCCCACAGTCCTTCGGATGCTGAGGATATCCACAGGAAGGAGGCAAGAGTGTTACGAATACAAACCTCCCCCAATTGCTCGATGAGCCACTGGCACACCTACGTGGGAAGCAGGTCTCAGCCTTGGCACAGCTGGGAGAGTGTGAGGAGATGCTTTACTGCTCGCTTCCTGTTCCAGAACCCCGCGGGGTCCCCAGCTGGCACACTAGCCTCATGGGGAACATTACTGCTAGCGTGGAACAGGTTATAACTGATCCGCCAGTCAAGCCCAGCTCTGCAGAAAACAAGGCTTTTCTGCACATAACCATAACCTCTATGGAGAGGATACCAGATATGAAACGGAGGAGCTATGGAGAATGTGACACCAATCCTGACTTCCCCTGCCCACTGCCCACTGCACCATAGGAGTGCCACCGTGAGGCAGCCACATACCTCCTGTGGGTTCCCCAAGGCCTCTCCAAGCATCTTCTCAATGTTTCTCATTATGGCCACTTTCTGATGGGCTTTGAGAGGATATTCAATTCTCTTAGGGGTGGGGGCCCCCTGCAAAGAAAGCAGCAGCTCAGGAAATGTCTTTAGCAGGAACCTTCAATGTCACCCACTATTCCTAGGCTCCATCCTCCCTTCTAAGAACTACAGTTCAAGCCAATTCCTCTTCGTCTCCCCAAAGACCTGGGATCACTCCAGAAATAGCCAACCGCCCCACCCTGCCCCCAAATAATGTATTACACCTACTCACCCCAGCCCCATCTAGGGAAAAAACCCATATTCACCTTATACCAGAAGTTCACAGTGATAGTGATCCCCCCATTTAGTAATGATTCTATGTGATGCCACCTGCAAGAAAATAAACAGGCTCCTGTTTGCCACCAATACTTTTCAGAGGGAGGGATGGAAAACTAGGTAGAATCCAGCTAAGAGAATAAAGAAGACAGTCTCTTTATGCTCATCCTCTCAAACACACCATGGGGCTAGAGACAAGGTTGTGATTTCCCCCATGTTCAGTATGCTCACATCTGGATATGCCAACCTTCCTATAGATCACACAAGACCAATCCTGTCACAACTCAAGGGACACAGAGAAGGCTTTTCAGGGAATGGGAAAGAAAGCTCCCAAGAAGTCCTCAGTCCTAGCCCCTTCCTCACCAGTACATTGGGATGTAAAGAACATCACCAGGACCAACCACTGTTTCGTAACCAACCACGTTCTGGAAATTGGGGAACCTCTCGTAGTCAGGATTGTCAAAGTCCACCTGAGAGGTTCAAGAGAAAGAAAAAGAAAAAAAATCAGTCGATCACCAAATTTTTATCAGTAAGGACTATGTGAAAGTTACTCTGGTAGTCTACAAAGATGCCTTAAAAAAAAAAAAAAAAAAAAAAAAAGACTTAAAATTTATATCCAGCAGAAAAACAACATACATTAAAAATACACAGAGTCTCTCAGAGGACGATGTAAGACAGACCATACTCAATACCAAGTGGTAAAGAATCCTAGGCTTCAGGGCTCCTGAGGTCAGAAAGCCTACTCATGGCTTGCAGATGTGAAGAATGAGGACTCATCCTTCACTCAAACCTTCAGGAACTTTCTCCCTGACTCTCATTCTAACCAGTCAAACTCCTACATGAAGTAACTAGGCAACTTTCAATATAAGAAGTAAAGGACCTCTTTGTTTGGCCACAAAGTCAACCATATACTTCACTTGGATCTAGAAAAGGTATTAAGTGACATATCTCAATTCTATTAGTCCTTTTTATCAAAAAATAAAATTATTAAATTCAATAGAGACATAAACACATTTTGTTCCATGAACTTGTAATCCAATCAAACAGGGTGGTGACCTGACTCCATCTGCATCAAAGATAGGGTCTGCCCTCCAGAATTAGCTCTCCAGGGCTGTTTATATTTATAAACATGTGGGGACTGCACAGAGGCCTGAAATATACAGGGTGGAACAAAAGTAGGTTTAGTGTTGTATGTCAAACAGTTTATTCTTGTATTATTACTTATTAATTACTGTATTATTTTCCATATAAACAACTGTAAACCTATTTTTGCCCCACCCTGTATGAGCTACCCTGTGAAATTATCCTCTGAGTTTGTCCAAACCTAGCGTACCACCACAAGGAAAGGGAAAGTCATGCCAACCTTGGATCCCCAAGGAGTTCTATACCTCCCTCAGATCAGGAGCTCACCTGGCTCTGTCTGTCACACGGATGATGAACAGGATATGGGTAGAGGCACTCAAACTGATCCGGAGGGAATAAAATGCATCGCTTGTAGCCCTTTATCTGAGCAAAGAAGTTCTGTTGTTCATCATAGTGAGCAGGTGTCACATTTCCTGGAAGAAGAAAGACATTTTCTTATTCAGAGCAGTGCCTCTATTGCACAGGCTGAACACAGGGCCCAGTGCTGGAGAGAAACCAGCCTGCCCACTCAGCTAAGGCTTCCTAATAAAAAAAATCAGGCAGAATCAGGGAGATGGCAATTAAACTCGCAGAGAATTAGGTGTTATACTTTTTTAAAAATACATATATTTGAGGAAGTATTTTTTAATATATATTTTTCATTGATTTTTGAAGAGGAAGGGATAAGAAGTGAAAGAGAAACATAGATGTGAGAACAAATCATCGATCGAAACCTTCCAGGGATGGAGCAGGCAATCCTGGCATCAGTCCTGACTGAGAATCAAACCACCGGGAATCACACCAATAATTTTTTGGTGCATGGGACCATGCTCAAACAACTGAGCCACACTGGCCAAGGTGGAGTTACACTTTTAATCATAAATAAGTCCAGCAATAAGGATTCAACATTAATTAGCAAAGTAGACTTTCTTAAATGATGGCTGTTGCCCTTACCAGAATCAATAGCACATTAAAATCATACAATTCTAACAAAGTAATATATTATATATACTTATACTCTTCTTGACTATGGCAAGAATTCAAGGGCAATAAAACACAAGTTAGAAACAACTGAAATGACTGGTCTCGACAATGCATACATGATCTTCTTTGATGGAGTTACCTAGTCATTTTAAGTTGCATGAATATGTACTTGCTTTGGATAGCTCGTTTATTTTTTTATTTTGAGAATACGTTTATTAAAGCTGGGGACAGTGAAATAAAGAAGGGCCTAGGAGAGAATAAGCAATAGGAGAGAGACTAGGCAGGGCTGCTTTGGCTCTCTAGAAACGTTGAAAGAAATGAGCCAAGGCACCGCTGCTGTCAGGTCACTGGGAAGTCAGAGAAAAGGTTCTGGGTTTAGCCCAGGACGAGCTGCAGCTGCCCTCTGCTCCCCTGGCTGCAAGTCTCATGGGAACCTTTAGAGTTTGGGAGACAGACACCTGTGGGGGAAAAAGAGAGGGGAACGCAAAGGCCCGAACATACACCAGGATAGCACACATGAGGAGCCCTCTGGAGGGCAAAGTTTCTCAACCTTTCCTCCCATTTCAACACACTTGTGAGGTGCAGCACTTCTTAGAGCAACACTGGAGATGTTGATTCTCATAGGTGTACAAGTCAGATTCCCAAAAGAGAGCTATACAACTTGAATAAAGAAAATTATTTTAAATACCACCTTGAGTTAGTTTTGCCCTAGTCTGTGCTCTATCTACTTATTATAACTGGGGCCACATAGGTTGTTTATCCTTCACACAATCCTTAAAAACTTAAGGGCTCCTGCAGGGCATGGAGTGTAGAAGACATTCTCCAGGTCTACCTGGGTGGGTCAAGATAGCTCCTTAAATGCTGAGTCCCTGGCATCCCCAAAGGGAGTCTACTCTCTCAGCTCTACCTGACAAGTCCACTTGCCGACACTCTACCAGAGGATAAGGCAACAGAAAAATGCAGAGTCAAAAAAACAAACAAAAAAAACAAAACCAGCTGATGTGGCCCAGTGGTTGAGCGCTGACCCATGTGTGAAGAGATCTCAGTTCGATTCCTGGTCAGGGCACACATGCCCAGGTTGTAGGCTCGATCCCCAGTGTAGGGCATGCAGGAGGCAGCTGATCAATAATTCTCTATCATCACTAATGTTCTATCCTTTTCTCCTCCCTGGAATTAACAAAAATATATTTAAAAGCCCTGACCAGTTTGGTTCAGTGAATAGAGCATCAGCCTGTGGACTGAAGGGTCCCAGGTTCAATTCCGGTCAAGGGCATGAACCTTGGTTGTGGGCACATCCCCAATTGGGGGGGGGGGGGGGGTGTGCAGGAGGAAACTGATTGATGTTTCTCTCTCATCTGTTTCTAGCTCTCTATCCTTCTCCCTTCCTCTCTGTAAATAAAATGTATATTTAAAAATACACACACACACACACACACACACACACACACACACATTGTACAGCCAGATTATTATCTCTGAATGCATAATAATCTGGCCACTCAGTGTATATCCTACATGATAAGAAGCTAATATGCAAATTGTCCCCTCTACCAGGAGTTCGACCAGCAGGCAGGCCAACCATCCATGCCCTCTCCCTAGCCAAGCTGGCCAGGCCCCACCCATGCACGAATTCATGCACTGGGTCATACACACACACACACACACACACACACACACACACACACACACACACTGAGTGGCCAGATTATTATGTGTTCAGAGATCATAATAATCTGGCCACTCAGTGTATTTAAAACAAAACAAAAAATGAAGACTCAAGTAAACTAGAACTGACTCCAGACAGGTCAAACAAGAGTTGGTTTCCAAGGGACAGATTAAAAGTCAATCCATAAACTGCGCCTAAATCTGAAGAAAGGATAATCAAAGAGTGGAGAGATCTGAGTCTAGCAGTGAACAACAATGAATAATTACTGCTTCCTTGTTCAACCCAATTTATTCACCACTTATTTAGTATGAGCCTGACACCAAGCTAGTGCTGGAAATAATAAGAATGAGATAAGTAGCTCTTCTTTTTCTGACTGGAATTTAAAGGCTTCTCATTTTATTCAAAAGAAAAAAAGCACACACACACAAGAACACAATCACATATTTGCTTGTGTGTGCGTAAAATTCTCTAGCAGGATTCACAGTCAATTAATAATGTGGTGCTTCCAGGGAGAGAAACTGGGAGTAGAAGAGAGGTTTATCATTACATACCTATTTATACCTTTTGAATTTAACCCCATGAATGTATTATTTGTTCAGAAGTTAAGGCTCAGCTTATATTGGAAAAATACATTCCCTCTTCTCCTGGATAAAAATCTTTTGAATACAAACAGATCCAACAGAGAAGAGCAATACTGCAGAGATCCCTAATATCTGAGTATACACAGTCACACAATAACTAAGGAAGGGAAAAGAAAACTTTATTTAGAGGACATGAAACTAGCTTGTAAACAACATAAATTATCCTATTTCACCTTCACTGCTACTTATAAAATACTCTCATGGTCCTTTTGCAGATGAGGTGGCTGAGGCTTGAGAAGTTAAGTAACTTGCTCAAAGTCAAGGAGGGAATATAATGGACACAGGATTAGGAACCGGGTTCGTATAACTTCAAGCTATGCTGCTTTCTGAAAGATTTCTTACCTTCCATGCCGATGAGCAGCAGATTGGACGTCAGCTGCCCCCAGCCACGCTTTCCCTGTTGCTTATTAATCCAGTTCCAGTTAAAACCCAAGAAGTCCATGACAATCTTCCTGCCCACAGTGTCATTGAGTGTTTGCTGCAGATACAACCTATGTTCCCCAAGAAGAAGATCCCATTAGTGCATGTACACACAGTCCCTTGGCATGGCCTCCCCACATATGGAAATCTAAGCTAAACCCACATTAGCATCGCCCACAGAGAACAACCACTATCATGCGAATCTTAACCAACATGATTCTCTCAGAACTGAATCCTTAACTATCCTTCTTTGGACACCAAACTTATTACTTTTCTTTCATAGATTCCTCAGAATCTACCCACAGACCCTACAATGATGAATCACCCTGTTCCAGAGAGTCTCAGGACCCAAGGCATCCCCTTTGGCCCTCAATGGCCATTGTAACAAATCATATTTCTATTCACCAAGAGCAAGTTCCTTCCCTGTGGGAGAGTGATTCTTCTGTACCCCCTTGAAGCCATTTAACTTGCTTTGATCGTTTAATTTGCTTTGGCAAGGAAATGTCCACAGAAGTGACTTGTGTTGCTTCCAAACTGTAACTTTAAGAACCAGTACGACCACCACAACAACTCTGCCACAGCAACCACAGTCTCAGACAGTAGCTACTGGGCCAATAGGGGCCCCAAAGTGAAAACGATGATGTAAGAGCAGAGCTTCCTCCTATGTTCATTTAGGCAGCACAGATACTAAAACTGGAACGATACTGAGATTAGCAGGCCCCTGCACAAGAATGATACACAAATTTGTGAAGCGTTTCATATTTTTTCGAAAAGAGCACAGCATTCCGGGTGACCCATGATGAACATGTAGTGTGAGTGAGAAATAAGGTTGCGGAGCTCTGGCTTGAAGCCTAGTGTATCTTAACTGATTCAGCCACCTCTCTGTAGCATCTTTCTACAGCTGAAGGAAGATGCCTCACTAGGCTTTCTGCAGGCCCAAGGCTCCTCACACACCTAAGGATGATCAGAAGTTACTTAAGGTAGATGAAAACCCAGATACACTTAAGCCCACAAGACACATTAACAAGGGGACAAGCTGGAAGTTAAGATACAGAGGCAGTCCTTTCCTGGTCCTGAGAATATTACTTCAAAAAGCTCAAAGGTATCAGTGCCTAGAAGCTTGATGTTTAAGGCCACTTTAATTAGAAATCTCAGTAAGCTTGAAACATTAGCTACCTTTTTGGGGACAAGGACCCCCCCATGACTCAAATGCAACCTTTGGACTCTTCCCAGAGATTGTAATACACATACACATACAAAAATTTTGCAAATAACTTTAAAAGAGGCATGACCATTCATGAAACATTATACCTAAACAGTAAATGTCAAAAGAGCTCAAAGAGGATGTTAATAGCCTTCATCCCAGAATCACAACAACCTTTACAATAATGAGTTGGTTGATGCTCAAGTCAGCGGATAGGGTAAAACTTAACACATAGGAACATTTTCCTTGAATCACCCATAAAGAATAGACTACACTCATAGCTCATACTTAGTGAGGGGAAATGCTCTCACTATAGGATAAGAAATTTAAAGTGAATGAGGAACCAGGGATTCATGTGTTTTATCTCATGCTTATTCATTAAATGGAATTACACTCCACCAGCACTATTTGAATAGCTCTCAATTTGGACGTTGGATGTGTCTATGTGTATGCGTGCACATGTACATGTGTTAATTTTGAGGAAATTAATGCAAGAGACAACTCGACTAAACCAGGCTTTATAAGACAAAAATAACAGCTCAATCAAAGTTCAGACCCTGGAAACTCTTTTAGTCAAAGTCCCATCATTGTGTAACTGCTAAGTGTCAGGAAGATGGAAAAAAGATATTTCAAATTCATTCACTCAGCCACATACAGCTACCAGAGTGTAAGAAAGAGAACTGAAGCAGGAAGGTTAAGACTGGGCACCAAATATGAGAGAGAGAGGGTCGTTCACCATGAGCTACTTAGTGAAGGCAATTAGTCTGGGACCTACCTAAGAGGCTGTCTTCATACAAAGGCATAAAAACAAAAGAAACACTTCAGTGTGTGTTGCATTTGCTATTGCCAGTATAACCTGGAACATCAATATATGCCCCTCCCCCAATCTAATCTGACCTTCCCTAAACTAGAGGATCCTAATATCCTTCACCCCAGAATCACATTTATATAACTCTTCAGCCTTAACTATCCCCAGCTGTGAGGCTGCAAACTGATCATCTCAACGCTAAATCCAACAACAGACATTTCCGTTTGACTCCTCGAAGCATTTTTAAAGATTTTAATTACCTGTGCACATTTAAGTTAAAAGATCTTAAATAAAAATCCTCGATTTCTGGCTTCTCTATAAAAAATCTGAATATCTGGCAATCCTAAAACTGAACTTCCCAATGGGCACAAGTAATGACTTCTGACTTTGAAGGGGGTGTATACATTTAGCCTCATGGTAGTTTTTACCCAAACAACTTCATTTTGTTCACCTACCTGACCCTTGTAGGTAACTGTGACTCTCACTTTGTAAAGATGACAAAGAGCTAGAGAATCATGTTCACGTGTCATCAATTCTCTCATCCCTCAACTCTGAGAACTCACCCAACTCCTCCATATCCTCAAACAAGTACAGGCAAAAGAAAATATATGCCTTAGAGCCAACAGAAAAACCATCATCCGAGAGCTTACCTCTCTTCTCCTCCTCGCTGCTGTATATCCTGCAGTTTCTCAACAAACTCGTGGAATTTCATCTCCTCCCTGTTGGACCTTGGCTTAAAGTTCTGGAAATTAGCCATCTTCTTCTCATCATAGTACAAGAACTTGTGAGTACTGGCACTGTACACAGAGAAGTCTCCATGGCCAATATTCTCTTGCAAGTATTCAAGGTCCCATTTCAGGGCAGGATACACAAGATTAGTGTCGGTCAGCACCACAGGCTCCTACGGGAAAACATCAGGTGAAAAAACAAAAACATAAAATGAAGCCGTCGGGGGGGGGGGGGGGGGAGAGGCTGGTGGGTTCTGGTTCCATAATCCCAACTATTTCCCAACTTCAGAATCATTTCATCGGTTAACCAACATGAACCCCTCAAGTCCCATTTCTCCTCGCCTCCCTCTCCAGCTCTCCTCCAGCCCTCGCCCACCGCCCAGCCAGGTCCCCACCTCCATCAACGCTCGCCTTTGACCTCTCCTCCCAACCAGCTCCCTCCCTCCCCCGCTCCCGCCCGGGCACGGCCCCGCCCCCTACCTCATTCTCGATGAACTCCTCCGCCCGAGGGTCGCTCTGACTCAGACGCGGGATGGGCCGCGTCGGGAAGCTGTAACTTCGCAGTTGGGACTCATTCCAGGCGGGGCGGGGGGCTTCAGCCTCTTCCCGGGGTCCTGCAGAGCCAGAGGCCGCGGCCTCCGCCGCTGTAGCCGCCATTTCCGCCGCGAGGGACGGCCCCGCCGGAACCGGAAGCTCCGCCTCGTCCAGATAAAACACAACGGCGACCATAGAGATGGGCTGCGAGAAAGAGCGGCCGAGAAGCACAAAAACAAAAACAAAAGCCTCGGAGCCAAGATGTGGGGGAGCTCCCCCTAAGGGTGACCAAACAGATCTACACCCTAGGCTCCGCCCCTGAAGACCTGGGCTAGGTGGTGTTAGTCACACGGATTCGAGTTGCTGACCTGGTTAACCAATTCACAAAATAGTATCGCTGCCTCCGTGTGCCCAGGCCTACACAAAAGGCAAAGAAGGAGGCAAGTGTAGTGAGGAGAGAAGCAAATTATTGACCTACCTAAGGAAGTCAGAAGGACAAGCAGTTGTCAGATTGATAGATGCTGTGGAGAGGGGAGGATGTGGTGGTGGTGGGGGCAGCTTGTGGGCAAAGGTTGCTTTGAAAGCCTTTGTACAAGATCTATGGCAAGTTGAATTCTTTTAAAAGGAACGACAGGGTTGCTTGTTAGCATCATTTGATTTTTCTACCTGTATTACCATCTCTCCTACTTGAAGGTATTTTTGCTATGGGACCAATGTTATAGTCAAGCATGAGCATCCTGATAGATTAAATAGAGAAGGGGACTGAAGATGGGGATGGCAGGACACACACAGGCTTTGTTGGAGGGAAGAGTACCCCTGCCGGCTGCTTCCAGAGAAAGGGGCGGAAGAGAGCGAGGGCTGGCGTTCAAGCACCTTTAAGGATAGGGGACGGGGCTTAGGGCACTCAGCACACGCTGATTGGTGATTAGGGACCTAGGGATTTAGGAATGGGGGCTTAAGGTATTTGGCAGGTGCTGATTGGTGGTTCAAAGCTCAAGAATGTCTGGCCACAGGTGAGGTTTATGTCTGTCCATCAACTGGAGGAAGGGAGGATCTATCACATCCCACATATTCAAACAATTTAGATTGATTATTAAAGGCCCTATCAATTACCTCTATTGCTTACGTAGTTCTTATGGCTGGCTGTAGGATTCTAAGATAGATCCAAAGACTTCCATTCCATGGCTTACATGCCCTATATAATAAGTCTCTCTTCTTGAAGAAGAGCAGGACTTATGACTATAATAGGTTATCACTCTGGCAATGAGATTATATAGCAAAAATATAATCAATGTCCCCAATCAGTTCACTTTGAGTTGAACTGACTTGTTTGGTGTGTGCAACAGGAAATATTTCGCTTTTGGAGAAAAAGAAAACTAGGTTTATTTGTGTTATGTTTATTAATTTGTGCAGTTATTCAGTGTCTGGTAAGTTAATGTTCAAGAAAAATGTTAATTTTTATTAAAATGATTTATTATTTTATGTTAATGATTACTCATTTATTTCACCCCTTGGATTCAGCATGTCATTATGGAAATAAACCTACGTTTCTGTGAAAATTGAAGGTGTTTTTTTTGTTTTGTTTTGCGGCTTAAGTTTTTTACACAAACTTAAACCTTGTTTTATTTGGCCTGGATTAGCCTATGAGTTTGACATGCTTGGTGTAAACTATGCAAATTCTACTTCTTTAAATAAAATTAAAACATATTCATATGCAGACATAATAATGTTCCCTCCCTTCTTTTTCTAATGTTTGTCAGTTGTGTTAGTAATGTAATTATCTGAATCCTGGCAAATCTGAGCCTTTATGCGAGCTCCAAAAAGCTGCCCCTGGTGATCGCCTCGGTTTTACATTTGTTGGGTAGAGGGGACTGGGACATTCCGAAGCTCACAGGGACTGAAAATGAGGAACCCATTCGAGGCCTATTTACCTGTAGCACCACCGCGCATCAGGTGAAAGATATCAACCAATTTGGAAAACAACAAAACACAAGCAGGACCAAGGGCTGAATTTTTGAAGAATGATCACGTTGGGGGATGAATGGAGCAGGTGCCAGTAAAGGAGAGGAAAAGGCAAGCAGTCAGAGATGAGCACAGGCTCACTTCCCTTGTACTGCTCTTGCTGGAGGTGGGTCAGCTGTCCACATGCGATGCTCAGGTTCTGAGCCCTCGTTATTCTTGGATGCGTCTAAAAGTTCACTTAGGGAGAAAAAGGGAATCAACCATCTGAAATACCAAAGCGAAGACCTGCTTGGTTTTCTCCCCTTCAAGTTTTCCCTCTCCGCCCCTGTCCCTCTGCGCATCCTGCCCATGGCTTCTCCACACCCTTTATGCCCCACCCTTGCGGAGCCCTTAGGACTTCTCCACCTGCCGTCTCCTTCGCGTTTGGCCCCGCTCGGCCGCCGTGACGGGCCTGTGCGCATGTGCGGCGCGAAACCTCAAGAAGGTCAAGATGGCGGCGGCCAGGGCGGGGGTCCTGGGACTCCGATGGCTGCAAAGGGCAGGGCGGAACGTGGCGCCGCTGGGTGCACGGACAGGTCCGCGACAAAGGGCGAGGCCTCGGTGTGGGGAGGGGATGCCTGAGGGTTGGTGTGTCGCGGGGGAGGTGGGCATCGCGGATCACCGCGGCGGCCTTGTCGGGGCTGCGGGGCAGGGGCGGAGGTGGAGTTCGTGGATCCAGAAATGCGGGTGGAGCGTCTCGCCGGTCCCTGGGAGACTCGGGCTCCGGCCTCCGCTGCCACTGCAGCTTGAAATCTTCGGGGGAGGCAGGCGGGACGGGGTGCCCTCTCTGACCTGCCCTCGTCTGCCCTCTAGCCTCCCACATTACCAAGGACATGCTCCCGGGGCCCTATCCCAGGACCCCAGAAGAGCGGGCCGCCGCCGCCAAGAAGTATAATATGCGGGTGGAAGACTACGAGCCGTACCCAGATGATGGCATGGGGTGAGACAGAGGGGGTCTGCGCGCACTTGGGTAGTGATGGGAGAAGGCGACTGGGTTAGGTGGCTCGACTCTGACCCTTTCCACCCCCGCCCCCACCCCCACCTCACCCCAACCTTCCTGTGACCCCTCAGAGTCAATGGTGTGGGTGCTTTTCTCGGTGCAGGGGGGGAGGGGGGAGAGCACAGCTGCAGCCGAGAGGACTTCAATTTTCTCCTTGGCTCGGGTTATTTCCTCAAATGAGGAAGCGAGGTTTTAATAGCTCCCCGAGGACCCGTGAATAGCAGGAATCTTCCTTGGCTCCATCCAGAGCGCAAGGTTTCATTTGGATCGAGCATCTGCTGGGCTCAGGTGCTGTCATCCGGGCACGTGACCGGGCGGGAACTGGACTCCTGTCTTGAGAACCTTATTTGTAGATGGAGTAGTCTATATTTGTGTATGTCTCTCTTTAAAAAAAATAAAAATAAAAATAAATCCGCTATCATTGCTGTGGGGGCCGTGGAAATCCTAGCAACTGTGGAGCAGATTAAATGGCAGATTAAATTCCCTTGCTCCAATTAATGTTACTCCCTCCTCCCCTCCTGTCCCCACAGCTACCGCACATCTAACATCTCTCGGGTTAATTATTGGAAGTGATTGCTAGCAGCCTCATTTTCTATCCTAGCATCACTCTTTCAGTGCGATTTCAGCAGCTCCTATTCGTCTTGTTGTTTTCCAATCACTTTTTGTAGTATATGTCTAGTTGTCATCATTTCCTATGTCTTTTATTGTGTTATGGACAAGAACAGCCTTGACAGCCATCTGCATAAGTTGAACCTGGATTGGTTGGACCAAAACCCAACTTGGCAAGATGTCCCATGAGGTGTTTGGAACATGAAGATGTATGCCAACCCGGTTGAAGAACATAGATGCTATGAAAATAATACTTTCCTAATCTATGCCCTTTTTTTGTTTTTATTTCGATTAATCATGGGTGTAGACCCCATACTTCAGTTTCATTTTCTGCTCATGAAGAAATCAGAGTGACTGATAACGCCTTCCAGGCCTAGCATTATAACATTATGTGACTTTTTTCTTTTTGTTGAAAGAAGGTGAGAAAAGCTTATGATGTTATAATATTTCAGAGTTTGATGTGATCCTTTTTCAAAAAAAAAAAAATGTTTTTATTTCAGAGAGGAAGGAAAGGGAGAGAGAGAGAGAAACATCAGTGATGAGAGAGAACCATTGATGGGCTGCCTCCCGCATGCTCACACTGGGAATAGAGACTAAAACCCAGGCATATGCCCTGACTGGGAATCAAACCATGATCTCCTGGTTCATAGGTTAACACAATCACTGACCGTACTGGTTGGGCTAGTGAACTTTTAATTACAATTTGGGCTTCTGTGGTTGGTTCTTTGCTTAATGACTAAAAATTGAGATCTTGATTTGAAAGTCAGTACCTCTGTCCTTCGGTGAGGAAAGTTATTTCTATCAGTTGGTTTCTTATTTTTGAGATGAGGATACTCTGAATTATCTGAGAGACACTGCTCAGAGCCCTTTCCAGAATTCTTGCTATCTCTCAGGTATGGCGACTACCCAAAGCTCCCTGACCGCTCACAGCATGAGAGGGATCCATGGTATGACTGGGACCACTCAGAGCTGAGATTGAACTGGGGTGAACCGGTGAGAGAACTATATCCCATTTAACCTTTCTTCCTTCTCCCTATTGTATTCCTGGGGATTTTTTTTTTTTTTTAAAGCTCAAATAGCACTTCTCGGTCCAAATAACACTAAGGTTTTCTGCCAAAGGAAGCCAAATCTATTCACCTGAGATCTGATGTTCCATGTGTGGCATGTGGAATGGGACCTCTGGAAATTAACAAGCTTTGTAAATATCCATGATTGAAACTAACCGTAAACCAGCATCTAGTCCTGTGGGTCAGAGTATCTCAAACTTGGCTCTCAGAATATTGTTCAGGGCAGTAGAATGCCTTTGTCGAACCCTGAATCAGGCTCTGACCACTCTGGACTGGCTGCTTTTGTAGAAGAGCAGCATGTGACATTTATCTGTCTTTCCGCTTTAGTATCACTGGGACCTCGATATGTATATCAGGAACCGTGTGGACACGTCCCCCACACCTGTTTCTTGGGATGTCATGTGTAAGCACTTCTTTGGCTTCGTGGCCTTCATGATGTTCATGTTTTGGGTTGGCGAGAAGTATCCCTCCTACCAGCCAGTGGTGAGTATCTGAAAAGTGCTTTCTTGTGGGCACATTTACTTAGCCCTGTTTCCTGAGGGAAGGAAGTCTCTGGAGTGGGGACAGCCTATGGAGGGCCTTACACATGGGCCTGGCACAAGTACCAGGCACTGCTCCATGCCTAACATCTTGGATCAGTCTGAGTGAGAAGAAACAGTTTAGGACTCTGTTAGGAAGGAGAATATGGAAACCAGCTAGCCTCTAGAGTTGCCATTTGGGGACTGTACTTACCAATTACATTTCCTCAAGTGATTCACTCTAAGGTCGAGTCATGGAATGTGGAGTTGAAGCCTTATCCTTTTTGAAGGTGTGAAGGACACCTCCTATGAGGTATTGGAAACAATTAAATGTTTACTATAAGCATAGACAGTTATATTATATTCTGGAGAATGTGAAAGAAAAAACACCGTCTAGCTTTAATGAAGTTAAGTTTGAATAATAAGAAAATTCAAATGAGCAACGTTTCAACAAATAAAGGAATTTGGCAGATTTTGTGTATAGTGTGTGTGTGTGTGTGTGTGTGTGTGTGTGTGTGTGTGAAGTGAATGTTTGCACTAATGGATATGAGGTGCTGTTAAGGACAAGGGTTACCTAGTAAACTAGATGCTACAAATACTTAAACACTTGGGGTGGTAGGGAGAATTTGGAGAGAACATGTGGGGCAAGAGAAAACAGAAGGAAGGACGGACAAGGAGAGAGTTAGCTGGAGTGGAGCAGGCCTATAAAATAATTCCTAGATAACTGGCTGCATTGGTTACCTGGAGAGCTGATAAAAAATCCAGATTCCGCCGAAACCGGTTTGGCTCAGTGGTAGAGTGTCGGTCTGCGGACTGGAGGGTCCCAGGTTCGATTCCGGTCAGGGGCATGTACGTTGGTTGCGGGTACATCCCCGGTAGTGGGTGTGCAAGAGGTAGCTGGTCGATGTTTCTCTCTCATTGACGTTTCTAGCTCTCTATCTCTCTCCCTTCCTCTCTGTAAAAAAATCAATAAAATATATTTTTTAAAAAATCAAAATCCAGATTCCTAGGCTCCACTTCTTGGAAAGCCTAATTCAGTAGCTCCACAGTGGAATTCTAGAATCAATATTTAACAAGTCCCCAGGTAATTCTGATGTCCTGGGAAATCATATATGGAAATTGCTCCCTTAAAAATTATTTTAAGGTGAGCTGATCAATTTAAGTTGGACAGCTTTTACTGTATTGCTAAGGGATTTGGACTTGATGGTATAGTAACACATTAATTCAACAAATATTTATGAAACTCCTGTTGTGTACTAGTCCAGACCATGCTAGGGGTTGGGGATACAGTGATGACTTACTTGGTCTGCTCTAGGCAACCGGAAGCCATATTGTGTTTTTGAATAGAATAATGACATAATGAAAGCTAAATTTTTAGGAAGATTAATCTGGGAGTAGCCTGCAGCAGCGGTCGCCAACCTTTTAGACTTCATGGACCACCAGTGCTCCACGGACCACCAGTACTCCGCAGACCACTGGTTGGCAACCACGGATCTACAAGATAGATTGTAAGGAAAGGAACGGAAAGCAGGGAAGCTGCTGTGTTTGCAGGTGGCTGCTCAGTGCTACCTCTGCAGAGATAATCAACGTCCTGATGGTAGCTGGTATGCCTGTGTGCACTGACACGAGCCTTCCTACCAAGCCCCAGGGGCCCCAGGCTGGAGAGTGCACGTAGGGCTGGTGTGAGCACTAACTTCACTTCAGGAGAGCAAGAAACACTGTGGCTCTGCCATTTTTCAGTTCTGTAAGCATATCACCCTATTCTCCTCCCCTTGAGCTGTGTTCTCTGACAGCTGTTTGTTGGTAAAGCCAGCAGCCCCTAAAGCACGTCCCAGCCGTGTCTCCTCTGTGCTTTCCCTCACTGCTGCTCCTGCACGCCTCATTTGCTAGGCCACTTTAGTGGTGGAACCATTAGAGGCTGAGTGACTTAAAGGAGATTGAGTCTGTCTCGACCCCGAGAGAGTGGGATGGATGGATGCATCGTCTCATTTAGAAAGCTCTCCCTGGTGCTCTCCCTCATATATTCTCTCTCTCTCTCTCTCTCTCTCTCTCTCTCTCTCTCTCTCTCTCTCTACACACACACACACACACACACACACACACACGGAGTGTAGGCACCATTTCTCTTATAGTCTAGGCTTTCTCTCTGCCTTGGGCTGAGCAGGGAATAGGAGTGCTCTTCCTGCCGTTCTAGCCCAGCTGGGTCTGACCAGAGGCGACCACAAACCCATTTACTGTGCATGACTATTGAACTCAAAGTGGGATGTAGCCAGGTATTGGCTGGATGTATGTTGTTCTTGATGACCTGTGTTTTTTCCTTAGGGGCCAAAGCAGTATCCTTACAATAACCTGTACCTGGAACGAGGCGGCGATCCCACCAAGGAGCCTGAGCCTGTGGTTCACTATGAAATCTGAGGAAGCTTCCTGGGCTTTGTGCCCACTGACTGACAGTCCCTCATTCCTAGAGATTTGACCTTAATGAAATCCCTGATTAAACAGTGCTGTGGTACCTGTGCCTCATTTCTCCAGGATTAGCCACTGCCTGAGGAACCTCTCTTCTGTCTGCTGTCGCTCCTCCTCTCCCCCCAGAGATTGGAAGAATGGGGGGAGGGGAGGTAAGCACAAGAATATGTTAATTTGTCATCGCTGGGATTGTGAAAGTAGTTGAGGGTTTCATTTGTACAGCAGGTGCTAAGGGTAGCTTCTTGTTTATAGGGTTGAGGAAGAGGAAGATATGTTCCTAACTTCCCAAGTTGGAACAAGAATTATATCCCATTAAAAAAAACCTTTTTAATAATGGTGATTAGCTAACAAAACAAAAAAAAATGTACTCTAACGTTGTAAGTATATTACAGGACAAATAGGTAGTGTTTTTGGACTGGCCTAGGGCTGTGACTGCTTCTTAATTTTACTTCTGTTATATAAACATGTATTTCTCACTCCAAAGCAACTTCTGAATCCTAGCTTCTTATAAGCTAGCATTACCTATATTTATGATTTAGAGGACAGTTCAGTGAGTTACTACTGAACCTATGGCTTTTGTTGCTTTAATTTTTCATCCAAGCTCCTATATAGCCTTAGAGGAAAACCATGTTTTTGAAGGTTTATCTTAATGTATCTGTATTTAAGGGAACCAAGTTATGTTCTTTTCTTCCTTTGGAGACATTTTCTTAAATTACAATAATATTGCCAGAAATCTGATCCATTGAAAAGCATACATTCAACAGACCTATAGAAGCAAATCATTACTCAAGTTAGATAAGGGGTCCTTTAATGGTTGTCCAGGCAATGAAAGACTTAAGAGATCAGGGAGTGAGTACTTTTCATGAAGTGCCTTTCTTTGAAAATCTCCAGTCTTTTTCTGTCTTCATTCTCTGTCCTTTAGAGCAGTGGTCACCGACCTTTTGGACCTCATAGACCACCAGTGGTCCTCGGGCGACGCTGCTTTAGAGTATTGCTAATCATTTAACATCTATGTGCCTCCAATATAACACACTGAGAGGCCCTGGGGATATAAAGTTAAAACAATACAAAATAATTTTCTTTTTAAGTAGTTACCAAGAAGAGGAAACACCGTTAAAAACAAAACAAAACAAAGGTGAAAAGAAGGAAGAGTATACTTAAAAACCAAACAAAAACCCTGCTTGAAACTGACCTTATGCCTTTGGTTTAAATTTCTTTCAGAAAACTTAATCAGTAACATTTCTGCCTTATTCCCCAATTTGTGGTATTGCCTGAGGTTCAGTTATCCATCCTGTTTACTTTTCCTTGGGTCTCATCTACTGTTGTGGGGCTAAATTCAAGAAATAGTACAAGGAATGGGCAGGCACAGCAATGCCCTAAATTGTCTTCTGTCTTGAATTGGAAACTCCCAAGTCCACAGCAAAGGCAATCTAGGGCTATGTCACGATGACTTGGGGGCTGACGTAAGATGACCCAGTCACCACCTTTGGAGGCTATCAAGCAGAAATACAGAGGGATTTATGCATTAAATGGAAGTTTTGAATCAAAGAATTTAGATGTAAGATGTTCAGCTGCCTACGGGACATTTTTATTTGGAAACGCCATAATTCCCTCAATGAGCACGATCTTTTCACCTCCAATTCCTTTATCAGTCACAAAAGCCTGTCCAATTTTGCTTTACAAACATTGCCACTGTGTTAATCCAGGCTTTCATCACCTGATACCTAGTTTCTATTAGTTTCCTAATTTGCCTCCAGCCCTCTCTTCTACCTCCCTGAGTGGATCCATATTGCTAGTCTCAAAATACAATCTATACAATCTTACTGCATCCCTACCCATAATTTCCAATAACTCCGTATTATCTGAGGTGAATTGGTATTTCTCAGCCTACTGTAACCAGCTTACTTCCCCAACCTCTAGCCTCTTCCATGTTATGAGAAATGGCAGGGTGGCTATTCGCCTGTTGAGCCCCTTGCTCCTTGCTGAGACATTACCTATGAGGCAACTCCAAGGTATACCGCCCGTCTCAGGTCTCTCAAACCTTCCAGCCCCTGGTGTGCAGTACCTTACTCTCTGCACATATAGCCTTTATCAACCAATAGTTTTGGGCACTGGTTTGCTACGCTGTGTGTGTCACACGTAATTATGGCCTCGATTGTTGTTTTTTTAGCTTTTCAGTTAGGGTTCTAATGAGGCCCAGTCTTACCTACTTAAGTAGGTAACGAATTAAGTGTTTTCCCTTTTTAGAGGCTGGCTCCAGGTCTAGCTCAAATTGAGTAAATCAGAATTTCCTGGTGGTCGGATCTGACCCCCTGTGGCAGAACTGGGCAATCAGGACGGGGGAGGGAGGCCCATTAAAAGCTATCGCCCAATTGCATCCCCTTGGTGGGTGGGCTCGGCCGGGTCCGGTTTTCTGCCCCCGGCTTGGCCGCGCGCGTGGGCTGCGGCCCGCCGGCCGGGACTACTTTGGCCCTCCCCAGCCGCCGTCCGCCGCGCCGGGGCCCCGGAGCCCTGCGGAGACCGCCCGGCTCGCCGCCTGACCCCTGACCCGGGCTCCCCGGCAGGTTGGTTTCCTCGCCAGTCGGGGGCCCTGATAGTAGACAAAAGCCCGAGACTCGGCCGCTGCTCGCGGCCGCGTGGGGAGCGTGACCTCCGCGGAGACCCTGGCCCCCCGGCTCCAGCCCTCGCCGTGGACCCGGCTCCCCGCCACCTGCCGCCGGGTCCCCCCTCAGCGCGGCCCCGCACTGCCCCGGCCCGGGCCGCTGCGTCCGCCCCGCCGGCCAGAGGCCGGGCCTCACGGCCCCCCGCGCGCCGCGCCGGGAGGGAGGGCGGGGGAGCCGCGCTGACCGCCCTCCGTCCCTGCAGGAGGGTCATAGCTCTCCCACCTTCAACGCCCCGTCCCCCAGCCATTCTGACCTCATCGAGGCCCCTATTTGTGAGCAGACGTCTCTGAACAAAGTAGATTAAAAGCCCATTCCCCCAATTTCTAGACTGTCAGGATTTAAACAACTTGACGGAGTTTCGTTTCGTTTAGACCAGTGGAATGGTTAAAAGTCCTGGGCTATGGAGGCTGATAGGGGTTCACATCTTGACCTACCCTGTTTTCTTCTTTGTAAAATGAGGGTGGTGATAGTATTAATCGCAAAAAAAGATATATAGTGAGGATTAAGTTAGTTATACATGTCAAGTGCACAGCGCTCATAGCAGCTCCTACTTTTGTTAACGGGATCTTTTCCCAGAAACAGGAGAATGGCTTTGGCCAGCAGGTGGCGCTGGTGACTATAGTGCGATGGGTAGCGAGCTGATGAGATTTCCTGGTGCAGCCTCAGGTGTTCACAGGCCTCCTGGAAAGTTGGTTCGCAGGTTGTGGGTTATTGTTAAGCTGATTAGCAAAGGCTTCCTGGAAAGGTCAGCTAAACTTCAGGCTGGAAAGTACATTAGAAATTAAGTAAGACTGCTCCCTGGTTTGGTAAGTTGAGAGTAATCTGTGTGACTTGCTAAAGCGGGTTGCAGCAGGTCCCAAGTTTCTTCCCACAAGTTCAGTGTCACTTTTTTTCCTTTAAAAAAACAAAACAAAAACAACACCTTTTCTGCCTCGTTGTGAGCTCATTGGGATGGTACCTTGAATGTGTGCTAGAATGGCTTGGAAGCCACAGAGTAAAATGTCTGCATTCATTCAGCAAATATTATGAAGCACTTACTATGTGGCACGTTGCTCTGGCACTACATGATGAACAAAGCAGACATAGTGCTAGCTTTCATGATGTTTATTTAGTGGATGAGACCACTGTAAATGTAGATAAATACATAATTATAAATTGCTACAAAGAAAAATATTGAGGCTGTTCTTGATTGGGTGGCTTACCTCTGTTATGAAATGAGAAGCTGAGCCCAGAAAGAGGGGATAAAGAGCTAGTCAGGCAAAGATTGAAAGGAAGAGTATTCAAAGTATAAGGAACAGATTCAGGAAGACTCTAAGGTGAAAAAAAGCCAGGAAATGCACAACGGCTAATGCAGCTGGAGCACAGTGAATAAGGGGGAAAGGAGCGAGAGATAATGTTGAAGTAGGCTTGAGCTTTTGAGTAGGGCTATACTAAAGGGTTTGAATTTTATACTGAATGTGGTAGAAGCCATTGAAAGATTTTAAGTATGGAATGCCAAAATCCCATTTTTTATTTTATTTTAAAAGTTCACTCCTGATGCTCTGTAGAGAATGAATTGGATGATGGTATGAGTAACTGGTAGATGACCAATTGGAAGATTATTGACGATGGTGAGAGATGATAATCTTCAAATAGAGTGGTGGTGGTAGAGAGGAAGAAAAGCCGACAGATCCTTTGAAGGTAAAATCTGGAAGACTCAATAATGGGTTAGAAGGAAATAAGGGAGGAGGGAATCAGGTGATTTTCTGGTTTCTGGATTGAGCAATTAAGTGAATAGTGGTGGTATCATTTACTGAGCTAAAGAAGTCTAGAGATAAGAACAGATATTGGGAGGAGAAGATGTGTAATAGAGAATTCCATTTTAGATAAACTAACTTGGTCTGCTATATCCAAGTGGAAATATTTGACTAGCTGTTGTATGTAATTCAAATCTCTCCTTTGAGCTCCTTAAACTTGGAGCTCAAAGGGAGAGATTTGTATTGATCATATAAATTTTGGAGTCATCAACCTATGGATGCTATTTAAAGCCAAGGAAATTGATAAAGTCACTGAGAAATTATCTGGTTTGATGGTTATCATCACCATAGGGCCTGTGGCAACCATGCCTTTTAGATTTAAAGCATTAGATTTTAGTGATTGAACTACTGTCCTTACAGACATGAAAATGGTCATGTGTTTGTCACTCCGTGTTGCCCTGAGATGCCCCATCCCGTGATGTTGAGAATGAAACAAGATCTTGTGTTCGCAGGTGCTCCCTGGATCGGGCCCTTCAGCTTTCGGGTTTCTATTTTCAGTGAGCTGAGGGCCATGTCAGATTTCTGCCACCTACAGGTCAGACCATGAAGTTGAAGGAAATCGAGAGGCCAGCTGTCCAAGCGTGGAGCCCAGCCAGCCAGTACCCTGTGTATCTGGCCACAGGTATGGTGATACTGTGGACTAGGAGCCAGGGGAAGTACATAGGTCCAGGGAAGCTTAATATGCAGAATTCTTTATTGAACATCAAAGAAAGCTTTAGAGTCATGGGGTTGGCTCACAGCAAAGCAAGGGGCTATTAGCTGTTTTTGGTACCTGAGGGTAGCCTTGGACTATGGCTCAAGGCTAGGCACCTCATGCTTTTCTGCAGTTACCATTTGAAAATGGACCTTTCTTTGCAGTTGCCATTTGAAAAAGGGTTATACTCAGTCTTTTCTTGTTTCTCCTCCTCTCCACTCCCTATATAAATATACCCCAAATCCATGCATATTTTGTTGCTCATACGCTGCCTCTCCCTAATTTTTCTTGTGCCTAGGAACATCTGCCCAGCAGCTAGATGCCTCCTTTAGCACAAATGGCACATTGGAAATCTTTGAGGTTGATTTCAGGGACCTTTCTTTGGACTTGAAACGCAAGGGCGTCCTTTCTGCCTCAAGCAGGTACTATGTCTGAAGTGCTGATGGGTATGCAGGGCAGATCCTGACGTAGACCTCGATGGGGAATCCTGGGAGTAGTGTGAGCGTCTCAGGGTTCATGAGGAGACAAGTGAGGGGAGAAGGATCCTCACCAAGTTGGAGAGAAGTTAACTCTGGGTTTATTTTGCAAAACTCTTTTAAAAGCACCCACTCCTTTCTGGTCAGGAGCAGCAGTGTTACACAGAATCTGTGAAACAGATGCCTCCCACAGGCCTGGACTCATAAGTATCTGATCTCTATGAATCCAAAGCTGTTGACTCCTTCCTCCCTTGGCTCTTATGAAGATAAATACCTTACACAATATCCCCCTCTTCTGCCCACGGGAGGAGAACGAATGAACCTCTCCTCGCTGCTGTCAGGGACCCGTTGGGACTCATAGATTTCATGGCTCTGATAAGCTTAGAGGGCTGGCATTCACTCACTAGCATTCAGTGAGCACATGCATACATGCCAGGCACCATGCAAGGGCCTCTGTATATCTTATTCATTCCTCAAAATGAACCTAAGCAATAAGTAACGTTATTCCCATTTCACATAGGAGGGAACCAAAAATCTGAGAAGCTAGGATTGAAGTGTCCACCTGTTTCATTCCAAAGCCTACCTTCTCTCCATTATTAAATTGCTCTTTGACTATAGGTTTTGTAAAGATGAAGCTTACAGTATGAAGCTATGGTCTCCACATTTTTGTACCATTGAAAAAATGTGAATTACTATATTCAAGTCATTCAATATAAAATTATATATTTAATATAAATAATATACACTTACTATTGTACTATTACTAAAGTGTAATTTTTAAAAGGGTGATTTATATCATTTCTTATATTAAAAATATAAATCTTTTTCTTTACAGCCCAGAGAATTACCTTGCCCATCCATGCCAGTTTAGAATACAATGTTCCATCCTCTTGTGAATTTTGGGGGCCATCTGAGAGATTAGTTAAGATGTTTAGAAAGGGGTGCCCTCTTCTTTATTTTCATGGTTTAATCTAATAATGAAGATTAGTTATTGTTTCCTTTTTCTTGAATCCCTGTGTCACCTTATGACAGTTTCTGTATTTTGCAGTTTTTTATACATCTTTGTATTGCCAGTATTTGTACCTTTTGAAGAGCAGGCACTAGAGGGTTTACCAATAATGATGAGATATTCTTAGCCTGTAAGCAAGCATTTCAGAAAGGGCCCCTGACAGGGGTGAGCTAATTCAATAATGCTTATATTCCTGGAGGTAAGAAAAGGTGCAGTGGGTAAGGGGTCTTATTCTTGACAGGCCAAGCAGCAGTTTAAGCACAGTTGTGGCGCCTGAAATTTAGAGTTCCTAAAAGAGGGGCAGTAGAATTGCTTAGGAAACCTTGAAATTGAATCCAAAGATCCATGTGGGCAGAGATTTTTGTATGTTTTATTCGCTGCTGTATTTCTAGCACCTAGAACAATGCTTGGCATTAAGTGCATAATAAATATTTGTTGAATGAATGAGTGAAATAAACAATTCCTGGGTTATCAAAGCTGAGCATTCTATCTATCACGTCAGTTATATTAGTCTTCAGTTAGTCTACGAGCTTTTCAAGGGTGATGGTCTGATTGTTTTGCAGCCAACTAGGTTGAAGGGACCCTTTTTGAAATGTTGGTACTGAACGTGGGCATTATGAACCTTACCTCATGTCCTGCTCCACCCTGCAGGGATTTGTGGGCTATAACCAACATAAATAGTGCAGTCAGTTGCACTATAATTGTTTCCAAAGATTGGTTCTCATTCCCAAAGACCTAAGGGATTACCTTTGACACAGTCCTGTTAGGTCCTTTCTGAAGAAGTCATGTTAGACAACATAAACCTAAGACACCCACTTCTTTCTGTTCCAGCCTGGGTTAGGTCACTTACTCAAGAGTCAGTCTCACAAACTATTGACCAAGATGATCAGGGTAGATAGAGAGCTACACATCCTTTGCTTTATGCTTTCTTCTTTCTTTTCCTTTGTGTCATCTGCCTGGTTTAGTGCAGCAGTCGCCAACCCCTCGGACCTCACAGACCACCAATGGTCCAAGGACCACCGGTTGGTGCCCTCTGGTTTAGTGGAAAGCACAGTTGTGTTGGGTTGCAGCCTTAATAAAGAGCGGTGTGTGTTTGGGCAAATACAGCTCTGTCAGTGGTCCCAGGTTTCCTCACTTATGTATAAAGGCTTTATAAGATGACCTGCTGAGCTCAAAATTCAGGTCTTGTGTTTTGTTTTGTTTTTTGGCTTAGTCTCCTTCCTCCCTCTAACCTTTTTAAAAACTCCTCCTTATGTCTATTCATTATTAACTAAACACATACTTTTCAAAATCTTCTCCTTTCCTTTGCCTGCCCTGTTTACCAGGCCCATGCCTCAACCACATTTGAATCCTAAAAATCCCCTTCTCCTCAATCCATGATGCATCAGAGAAATATCCATTTAGAAACATTTGACTGAAGAGAAGTGTTCTGAAATACTGCTATAGATGTTAGATAAGGGACAATCTCAAGCTATAAATAGACTGATAAATGTCACTGAATGCAATCAGAATCAATGTGGATTAGCATGTGCACTGAAGCAAGCGATGTTTGGTTAGATGAATCTCACTCAAGAGGAAAGGTTTCTGGGAGAATAATACATTGTTTATGTATTGATTTTTGAACTGAAGACATAGCTGCTTTGGCTGAATGATGTCAGAGGCCAGTGTGCGATCTGTCTACTCTGAGGTTCTAGATCTCTTGAGAGGCCTCCGTAATCTCTGTATGACCCAGCCTCTTCAATGGAGAAAGCAGGTGATCTATCTCCCAGTGCTTCCACCTCAGTTCTCTCTTCTTTGGGAGCATTTTGATCTCTCTTTGGGCGCCTGTGTAAGGGACAACACAAAACAGAAAAGAGTACTTTGTGTACTTCTCTTGGTTTTCCAGTTTCTAAGACTTGCCTTCTCTCTTGAAGATACAAGATCACAGAATAGAGAGAGCATGTGCTTTGCTGTTGGACATACCTGGGTTCAAATCCCAGTTTTGCCATCTACTATCCCCTTGAATACGTTATTTAAGTTCGCTGGCCCTGTTTTCTCCGCTGTAAATCTTAGGATGTATAGTACCCTGTTTCCCCAAAAATAAGACAGTGTCTTATATTAATTTTTTCTCTTACACTTGCACTAGGTCTTATTTTCAGGGAATGTCTTATCTTTCCATGCGCTAGGTCTTATTTTCGGAGGATGTCTTATTTTCGGGGAAACATAGTAGGCATGTAATAGGCTGTCACAATCAATGCATTCAGAAAAGTAGTTATTTTTCTCAGACAGCCATTGCTCCACTCCACTGTCTTCATTGTTGGAGCACTGCCTTTAACACTCAGTATGACTTTTTAAGGAAACTTGGAGTTCTTCAGCTATTTTGGACTGGATGTGGACAAACTCATTTTCACTTTAGTTCACTTGCACAAAGCTGAGATTTTATTTTTTTTATTTAAAAATATATATTTTTATTGATTTTTAAAAAAATATATTTTATTGATTTTTTACAGAGAGGAAGAGAGAGGGATGGAGAGTTAGAAATATCGATGAGAGACATCTATTAGCTGCCTCTTGCACACCCCCTACTGGGGATGTGCCCGCAACCAAGGTACATGCCCTTGACCGGAATCGAACCTGGGACCCCTCAGTCCGCAGGCTGACGCTCTATCCACTGAGCCAAACCGATTTTCGCAAGGCTGAGATTTTTCAAAAGAAACCTTTCTAAGCAAATAAAATGCAAACTCCCAAAACAAAAATAAAGTACATAAATCATAGCAATAATTTATACAGCACATATTCTTAATCACTAAAGCTTGGCCTCAGAGGAGCTTATCTGGTGTGATCTGCTTTCACATGCTTCAGTTTATCCTCTTCAGCCCTGTGTTTTGCTTTTCACTAGAAGCATAGCAATGAGCTGGTTGTTAGGGCTGGCTCTATCTTTATGAAGTTTATTGTCTTCCCTGATTGTTCTAGGCTGGTGTGCATCTGGTACAGTCGTTCTCAACCTCAACCCTGGCTGCTGGTTAAAATTATCTGGAGGGTCTTACTGAAAACGTAGGTTCTAAAGTCCTGTCTCTGAAAATGCTGCTTCATAAGGTCTGAATAAGAATCAAAGAATCTATGCTTAGGTGCCACTTATCATTCTGTGATGTCCTAATGTCTCCATTGTTGCCATCATTTTCCTGGGAACCACTTTAGCAGAGAATTACACTTCTATTCTTGTGTTTTCCTACCTTCCCATGCACACTTTTCTTCCTAAACCTTCCCTTTAAATCTTTTAGTTTCTATTTTCAGGTCAAGCCCATCTTTTTATTTTACCTTTTTAAAAAGAAATATTCTAAAATAGACAAGTTGCAGATTAATACAGTAAACACTTGTGTACCTTCACTTAATTCATCGGTTGTTAACATTTTGTCACATTTGCTCACATGCTCGCATGTGCTCTCTTTCTACACACACACACACACACATACACACACACATAGCTATCTCTTGTACTCTGTCCATTTGTAGAGAAGAGCTAATATACACTCCTTGAGCCTACTGAATGATCAATCCCTGTCTTTGCTTGAATCATCATGTCCCATTCAGTCTCCAGCTTCACCCTCGCTCATTAAGAGGCAAACAAAATAGAATGTACCATCTGTCTGCATGCCTACAGAAAGAAAATCATTTTGTCTGCATTTTGGCCACTGTAGAGGAACTGGGTCCTCTTCTCAAACCCTTTGGTGACCCCCCCACACCTTGAGGTCTCCGGTACCTTCTACTCGTCACTGTACCTCTTCTACCATTCCCATGTGAGTTTTTCACTACCACACCCCCCTCTGGTTCCTGTGTGACCTGTTATGGGCTTCTCTAGTCACTCTGTTGACTTGCCCACTGCTACACTGACCTCTAGCTCAGCATACTAGTAAAGCACACTCTTCTGCCCTGTTAAGATCAAACAACCTTAGAAAGTATAGCCTTTCTGACAGTCGCTTTAGACCACCATTTGTGTCGCCTCTGATTTTTGTTTGTTTGTTTGCTTTCGAATCTATTGGGGTGACATATATTAATAATATATCATCTGTATATTGCACTGTGTGCTCACCACCCAGTCTAATCTCCTGTCACCATATAATTTGATCCTTTACACTCTTTATCTTCTCCCCATTCCCTTCCTTCTGGTAACCACTCTACTGTTATCATAGCTCTGTTTTGCTTCAGGTGCTCAGCTCTTCACTTCTGACAGGTTGGCTCTGCCCTTATGACTGGCCAAACAGGTTCCTGCCTGGTCATCCCACTCACTTTCTTTGCTGACTGTTCCTAAGGTGAGGGAGCATTCAGTGAGGGATCTTAGGACACCATTCAGTGTGAAATCTGATTTCTCAGAAGGGCTGTGGAAATATCCTTGGCTAGCAGCTGGGAAATGGACAGATCACTTAGGAAGCTTTGAGGGGTTTCACATGCCTTCGTTAGGAGCTTTGCAGAAGACCTGCACCTGTCTGCAGGGTATCCAGGGTCCATCCCCCACACCTTTTTTTTTTTTTTTTGGTAAGTCACTGGCAGTATCTTGTTAGAAGCATCCTCAGGAAACCAGAAAAGTGCTTCCCAGAAAGTGTGTTTATTCTCCATGCTTCTGTGTCTCTAAGGCTAGCCCATGGCAGCTATACAATGCTTCACTGAGCTAGCCACATGGGAAAGGCATGAAATCCTTGGTTTTTTTTTCACATCCAGTTTGAAAGGGAATAGGTGACATCAATTCTTGGTCTAGGGCAGTGGTCTGTGAGCTATGGTTTGCCGCTCTGTTGACTAATGAGTTTGCCGACCGCTGGAGGAATCTGCTTCTAGTCAGGGACCGGAAAGTTTGGTCTTCCTCCAAACAAGAGACAGTATAGATCTCAGGCATTAAAATAAAACGGGCTTGACTTTGAACCTTGGTTCTGCTACTCCCTAGGTGTAAAATGGGGATAAAATTACTAGCTGTACATGCAGAAGTTTCATAACTTCTCTAGCCTCAGTTTACGCAATTGAAAGTAGAATCAGCCGAAACCGGTTTGGCTCAGCGGTGGAGCGTTGGTCTGCGGACTGAGGGGTCCCGGGTTCGATTCCGGTCAGGGGCATGTATGTTGGTTGCGGGCGCATCCCCGGTGGGGGATGTGCAGGAGGCAGCTGGTCGATGTTTCTCTCTCATCGATGTTTCTGGCTCTCTATCTCTCTCCCTTCCTCGCTGTAGAAGGTCAATAAAATATATTTTTTAAAAAAAATTTTAAAAAAAAGAAAAAAAGAAAGTAGAATCAATAATAACACCTTATGGGGTTGTTGAATATTCAATCAGTTAATACATGTAAAGCACTTAAGACAGTGCCTGGTACATAGGAAGTACTCAATAAATATTAGTTGTTGTTATTTGAGTTGTGAGGATAAGGTGAAATGGTCTATTTGAAGTATTTATCATTAGGCCTATTTAATATTAACTTAAAAAATATATCCCCACAGAACTCTGAGGCAGTGGCTTCCTGGCTTCTAGTGTAACGGAGAGGGAATATTTTACAGAGAAAGGGCAGGACCCGGCAGAGGAGGCATTCCTTCTGGCTCTGGGATATGAGGAAGACAGGCAGGCCCCAGCTAGGGGTGGGAACGCCTGCATAATGGCAGAGTCTGGCAGAGCTGCTTGCTGATATGGACCTGAACTGGTGCTGATGCTTGTTCCTCCCCTCTGTAGGTTTCACAAGCTGATCTGGGGGAGCTTTGGCAATGGGGACCTGGAAGGCACCGGGGTTATCGCAGGCGGCGGGGACAACGGCATGCTCACACTATACAATGTGACCCACATCCTATCCTCAGGAAAGGAGCCTGTGATTGCCCAGAGACAGAAGCACTCGGGGGCTGTCAGAGCCCTAGACTTTAACCCTTTTCAGGTACTACATTCCATTTGGTCAGACATGGCCAAGCCCTCAAGCAGTAGCTCTGAATGGAAGCATTCACGTATGACTTTCGGTCTGTAACTCTGAACCCTTCCCAGGCTGTTTGGGGGAAGTTTTAGAAGCCTCATATATGGGTCTCTTTCCCCCTCTCTTACTCCCATCTCTTCAAAGACCTGTTCTTTGTATAGGGCAACATCCTGGCCTCAGGGGCGAGTGACTCTGAAATCTTCATTTGGGATTTGAATAACCTGAGTGTGCCCATGACCCCAGGATCCAAGTCACAGGTGAGAAGGCCCCGGGGCTGCTGCATACACTGTGAGGTGACTTTCCCAGGGAAGAGTCTTGGATTCTTGGAGGCAGCCAGAGCATAGGAGATTTTAGGCTTTACCACTGGAGGGCAATAAAGCTCCACAGACAGTGTGCTACCAGCCATATTTAACCGGGATGGAGGGGAGGGGAGTGTATGTGTGTGTTTGGTTTGTGATCATTAACTGTCTTGGGTTGGAGTAAGACATTGAGAGAAGACATTGTATAGCTTAGGCAAGGTTAAGCAGGCTTGGTGCAAGGGGGACTTCCAGATATACCCTGGTCCTTTTGTGGGAAGGGTCAGCCTTGTCTCTGTATCTGGTTTTCCCATGCAGTTGGGGATCTCATGTATTCTGTCTCTCAGTGCACTTATCTGTCAGTCTATGGCTGGGCCTGTCTTTTTGCTTCTTGGCTTATGCTTACAGTAGTGTGAGGTAAGTTAAGGATGAATTTGATGGCATCTGTGCCCTAAAAGTAGCAATGGCTTTTTTCCCCCCTGCCTTGCTATCTCTGGGAATCTTGGGTGTTTATGTTCCCCTTCTTTGCTCACTTCCTCCTCGTATCCCTAAGAGTTATTTTAAAATCTTGACTCTATCCTCTCAGGAGCACCTTGGGATAGGAGTGAAACCCAAGTGTGCCTACCATTGTCTCGGCTTCTACACCCCTAAAGGAACCTCTCTGGAAAATTCAGTCCAGCTCCCTGAGACTGTTTTGGTTTGGGTAGCCCCATATCTACCATTAATTAGGCTTTCTGTGGGTTGTTGGGAGCAGTGGAACAGCAATTGCCTTTTGGTTGGGCGGATAGCAAGTTGTCCTTTACCTGCTACCCCCCTCCTGCCTCAGCAGCCCCCAGAAGACATCAAGGCACTCTCTTGGAACCGGCAAGTTCAACACATTTTGTCTTCTGCTCACCCCAGCGGCAAGGCAGTTGTGTGGGATCTCAGGAAGAATGAACCTATCATCAAAGTCAGTGATCACAGCAGCAGGGTGAGTCATGAAGCAAAATGCAGGCTTGGGCTGTGGCTTCTCTCTCAGATGTGGTCATTGCAGCTGTTTGCAACTGTTACACATGTGGATTTCCTATTGACAGTGAAAGCTTAGGGACCTAAACAGACCTGATAATGGGCGCTTCTAAGGGTCCTTACTTGTTCATGGTCTTCACTTATTTCCTGATGGTTGTGGGGTTCTCAGTCACCTAGAAGAGACACAAAACCCGTCCTCGGAGTGGTCCCATCCCAGTTGGGCAGAAAGGGTTCACACTAGCACGGGCAGGTTGTGTTACCCGTTGGAGTCTGCTTTGTTCACAGATGAACTGCTCAGGCCTGGCCTGGCACCCAGACATAGCCACTCAGTTGGTGCTCTGCTCAGAAGATGATCGTCTCCCATTAATTCAGTTGTGGGACTTGCGCTTCGCCTCCTCGCCCCTGAAGGTTCTGGAGAGCCATAGCAGGTAGTATCTCAAACTTCATCTGCATCCTTGGTGGAGAGCTGGGGCATAATGACCTGGGTAAGAGGTAGCTTTAGCTACCAAACATCCTCCCTGTCTTCAGAGCCATCCCAGTGAACACACAGTCACCCAGTCCTAGCTCCAACCCCAACCAGAGGTCATGGAAAAGAGCCTGAGATGCCATCTGACTTCTAGAGATGGGAGTGGAGAGAGGGAAATGAGAAATATTGGAGCCAGTGTTTAGCCCCCTAGGAGAGTCCCCAGGCTCCCCTCTGGTAATGTTCATTTCTTTAGTGACGAGGTTGCCTTCTCCTGCACACAGGCCTGCCTCTGAAGCTGATTTCTGGGGCCCAGAGCAGAGATAGCAGCCCCACAGTCTGTTCTTTGTAACTAGTGTAAAAGGCCATGTTGCCTTTATGCCTCCTTGGGAACTCTTGAGGGTTAGGCCTCACTGCCCTCCTGAGCTAAAAAGCACCTATAGAATGGGTGCTTCTCTGATTCATGCTGGTCCATAGCCCCTGCTCTACAATCAGGGAAAAGAAGAAAGCCATCCTGCAGTGATCTGTGGAAGGCAGAGTGATACTGTGCACAGTGCATAGGCTCTTAGAATTGACTTGGATTCTGGCTGCTTGGCTGCTGAAAATTCCTTAATTGAAAACAAAAAACAAAACAAAAAACCTCTTTTTTTTTTTCCCTTCTCATTTGTAAAATAAAATCAGGCTGCTCATTTTGTAGGGATGAGATTTATCAGAGATCATAAAGTGCCCTATTCATAGTAGGATTTCGGCCAATGCTTGTTCCTCCTTCCTTTTTAGGGGCATCTTGTCAGTGTCATGGAGCCAGGCTGATGCTGAGCTGCTGCTCAGTAGTGCCAAGGACAGCCAGGTCTTGTGCTGGAACCTCGTGAGCAGCGAGGTAGGCTGGTCCTTCTGTGGGCGTTCTGGGATGGGAGGTGAGATGGGGAGATGCATTCTGGGCTGCCTTATCTATGTCAGGGTTTCCCTGATGCTGTGTTCCCTCATATTAGGTGGCATATAAGCTACCCACACAGAGCAACTGGTGCTTTGATGTACAGTGGTGCCCTCGGAGCCCTCCAGTATTCTCTGCTGCCTCCTTTGACGGCTGGATCCGTTTGTACTCTGTGATGGGTAGGAGCTGGGAAGTCCAGCAGATGAGACAGGTTGACAAGGTTTGAAGGGCTTAGTGGACAATGCTGGGGGGGAGGGGCTGTCTCCCTGTGGGGAGAGAGCAGGACATATGGCCTGGGAAGAAGGGGGATGTTGAAGAGTAGGAGGGCAGGGCCCTGGGTTTGGGAGGGCTGTACTTTTGCTCCAGTGCCCATCTTCCTGGGAGGACGTCAGTCCTGCCACAATACAAAAGAGACCTTCACCTTCACTTTTGTTCTTGGATGTTTCCCTGTGGTATTTCAGGGACATTGGGCCTCATGCTGAGACATCATTTTGGAAGTATGAACTGTCTTACCTCCTCGGCTCCTACGTATCCATTTTGTGTCACATTCCTCTGTATACCTTAGAACCAGTAGGCTTCCCAAAAGCCTACTTCATGGGAATCCCACAATCACTATTAGAATACGGGAGTCTCGTCTTTGCGGGCTAGATAAAGTATCTCAAGGATTTCTCCCAAAATGGAGTTTGTAGGTGGGGCTAGGCCCTTTTCAGGCTGGTGATACGGGTGTCCTTTTGCCCCCAGATCTCTTCCTCCTTCAGCAAAGGCCGGCCTCTCCCACCATTGCAGATGCCAGAGCAAGTGACTCAAGCGTCATTGATACCTCCTCTGAAAAAAGCCCCCAAGTGGATGAGAAGGCCAGCAGGCGTTTCATTTGCTGTAAGCGTAGTGTGTGTCTGTGCGAGGTTGTGTGTGTGAGGGCTTGTGAAGCCTACCGTGTGCCCAGCATGGAGCTATGTTCTGTAGGAGATACTTTTTCCATTAACCTGTGTCTCAGAGTAGGTCCCACTACTGCTCAAGCTCCCCTTTCTGCCCCTTCGCCTGCTTGCTGTCAGTCCTGTATAAAAGGAATTGATTGCTTTAGACCTCCTGGTTATGGAGAACTGCCTGAGATGCCATTTTATCTGATCTTTGTGTCTGTACTGGTAGTGAGTCCAGCTATGCAAGGGCTAACATACAAAGCGGGAAAGAAAAAAAAAAAAAATTCATCCTGTCGCTCCTCTGCTCAAAACCCTTGACCTTTGACCCCCCATTACCTTATTGGCTCAAAGCCAAGTGTACACAGAGCCCCATTTACCCTTCCAGTTTTTATTCCCATCTCTTATTCTTTTTTCTTTTTTTTTAATATATTTTATTGATTTTTCACAGAGAGGAAGGGAGAGAGATAGAGAGCCAGAAACGTCGATGAGAGAGAAACATCGACCAGCTGCCTCTTGCACACCCCCTACTGGGGATGTGCCCGCAACCAAAGTACATGCCCTTGACCGGAATCGAACCTGGGGCCCTTCAGTCCGCAGACTGATGCTCTACTGCTGAGCCAAACCGGTTTCGGCCCCATCTCTTATTCTTATGTGTTCTCTATGGTCCAAATAACTACGACTCTCTTATGTCCCACGAATAATTCCCCAACTCTGCTGCCTCTACCTGTACCCCATTCTTCAGCTTCTCTCTCAGGCTACTGAATCCTGGTACAGCCTTTCAAGGTCCCTCACTTAAATACCACCCCCTTTGGAGGCCCATCTTCAACCCTGGTCAGACTTAACCCGACTTCTGTAATCTCACAGATTTATAGTCCTGTAATGATACATTCTAACTGTACTAAACTTACGTAGATACATGTCTTAGGACCCTACTAATAGACCCCTAATGGATAGAAACCACATCTTCTTCATTTTTATTCCTAAAGCAGTGCTTCTCAAACTTTAATGTGCATATAAATCATCCGGGGCTCTTATTAAAATTCTAAAATTCTGATTCATTAGGTCTGGGGTTGGGGCTAAGATTCTGATTTTCCAACAGTTTCCCAAGGTGATGCCCTTGCTGCTGGTCTGAGGAGTAGCAAGGCCCTAAAACAGCTAGCCCAATGCTTTAAATACTAGGCTTGAATTAAAAACAGGGGGATAAGAGTAGAAGCTCTTGTTTTCAGAGCCAACAGTTTTGTTAAGGAGGTAAGACCAACACACTCAAGAGGCAGTGAAGTGAAGGATTCTTAGGTCATGAGACCTGAATTATTATCGATCTGTTGCTTATCAGCTGTGTTACCTTGGGCAGGTCATTTCACTCAGGACTTCAGTGTTCTTATCTGTAAAACAGGGATAGTGATAGCTGCCTAGTGAATTGACATGAAGCTCAAATAAAAATATATGTAAGCACTTTGTAAACTCTTCAATACTATACCAGTCCAAATTCAGATGGTTTTGTTTAGCACTAATCAAAGTATAGATTTTGTGCTGTAGGAGTCAAGAGAGGAATCTGCCTGGGAATGTTCATTAAGGAGGGGATCGGAGGAAGGGAAGTAGTGAATGGTTAGGGAATAAAGTAGTTGTCAGCCTTGACTGTAATTGCAATAGCCTGAAGAATTTAAAAATACTGATGCCTAGTCCCACCCCCAAAGATTCTGATTTTATTGTTTGGGGGAGAGCCTGGCAACTCTGAACAGCTCCCCAGGTCATTTTAATATGGAACCAAGTAGGAGAACTGTTAGAGTAAAGGGCCTTTACTAAGCTTTGTGTTTATGCCAAGTGCTTTATTTATAGTTCCTAATTTGGCGAGAAGGATGTTCAGGTTGAGGTGTTGTGGTGAGTGAGGGCACAGAGCAGGAAGGGGACTTGGGGGATGTGGCGTAGTCGTGTGATCCTGACTTGGTGTTAATTTTTAGCTCAAAGGCATGACCGTTACCTTTCTTGCTTTTCCTCACAGTTTGGGGGGAAGCTGGTCACTTTTGGCCTTCCCAGCACCCCTGCCCATCAGGTGCCACAGCCTTGCCTTCGCCTAGTCTTCATCAGTCAAGTCACCACAGAATCCGAATTCCTGATGCGATCAGCTGAGCTGCAGGAGGCCCTGAGATCAGGAAATCTCCTCAATTATTGTCAGAACAAGATCCAGCGAGCGTCAGTGCAAAGCGAAAAGATGCTCTGGCAGTTCTTGAAGGTAGGAAGCCTGAAGGCTGGATGCTCAGCGGTGTTTCCCCAAAGCTGGGTACTGCAACACCAGGAGATGCATAACCACACTGTGACCCAGATTTCAGAGGCCCTGACTCCTAATAGGTTTTTTTCCTACATGACACCCACCCTCCGGACACAAAATCTTCACCCTTTACCAGGGAGAGGTTCAAAAATGATTTGCCCTAGGAAAGGTGAGGGGTACAAGTGACATTTGCCCTTTTTGCTACCATTGCTCCTGTCCTGGGTACTTTACTGGAGCTGAGGTGAAGACTTTCACAGGGCCATGCCAAAGGGCAGATAAGATGATGCGAAGGGAAAAGATGGGAAGGGAAAGGAAGGAAAGATTAGCTGAAAGGATATATCATTATAAGAAGGCTTTGAGTTTGTTTCAAGTAACCAAAGCAAATCATTGTGGTCGGACTCAGGGCTCAAGTCCTGCTCTACTCTGGAGGCATGGCTTCAATTACAGTACTGCTTTAACCTCAAGTTGTTTATGGCACCGGGAGGAGTGCTATAGATGGAAGGAAGTGAGCAAGTGAGAGGAGAGGGCTAACGAAAGAAAGATAAATAACTGGCCAGACCATGAGAGGGTTATTCAGATGTTTGGGATTGTAGAGAAGAATGCAGTAAGGACAGGGCTTTGTCCCAGGGGATCTGAGAAGGATGTGGGATCTGTGCTTCAGACATAGAACTTAATTAAGGTAGATACCCAGAATCTGGGAGGGAGAATGGGATTTGAGAAAGATCATCAACTAGAGTGAAGCTAGAAAACATGTGGGAAGAAAAGAGGAAGGGAGCTTTTGTTATAAGCAGGATACAGACAATAGCTCCCGGGATGGTGGAATGGGAAAGAGAATAGAGGGAGTGATCAGTTCAGCCTCTATTTACTCAGGCAGCAGTGTCCATAGGACAGAGGGGAGACTGGTTGAAAAGCTACCCAAGAGCTGTCCAACAGAATGGTCCTGAAGCTGAGTGCAGATGAACATTTCCAAGGGAAGAGCATGGAAGAAGGAGGAGCCTTGAGAGGCTATGAAAAAAAATGGTAGTCAGAATTCATGATTCAGTATAGGATCAATGAAGGAACCCAGGTTACGGTATGGCTTCAGGAAGGCTTGGCCCTCAGTATCTGGAACACTGAGTGGGTAAACTGACTCTATCCATGCACCTTCGAGCAGGAGTCTTCTCAGCCTGACGTTTAGACCCAGAAGACTCACTTGGTGCCATCTCCTCAGAAAGATTAAGATAGAAACCACAGCCTGACAGCTGGGCAGCATCAGGCGTTCCCTCCTGGGGCCTTCTTGCAGCATCCATGCAGCAGTGCAGAGTTCGCTTCAGCTCCTCAGAAGGTAGCACAGATGCAAGGACTTAAGATGTACACCAGGCAGGTATGTAAGTTGTCCTGACTTAGAAGTCTCAAGCCCTCAAGAGCCAATATCTCTTGTACCAACTCCAAAAGTATGGCTTCTAAAATCTCTGCAAGGGATCTATTCAGTTACAAGAGTTCTTGAAATCACTGAAGCCTAGAACATGGTACCCACAATGATTATTTATAGTCTATATAATTCCAGTCCAAATGCAATTTACCAATTACAAGCAATGTTGCCTAGAAATATAGTTCATATTTTACTATTATCAGGTTACCAAAGTAACAAATGTAGGAAGTCAACTGAAGGTTCAGTTTTCTGGAAAAAGGAAAGAGGAAAAGGGTTCTGTTAACACTATGCCTACAGCCCAGCAGGAATCAAAACTGAGGAGACAAAAAGGGAGAGATGGTGTTGGCCTTAGCGAAACTGCTGCTAGTACAAAGAACTATATTTGAGGCTACACTGGCACAGATGTCCAATTTTAGCAGGAGAGGGTTATTTACATTTATATAATGGAAACTTCTGTGTCCTGTGGTTCCTTAGGTGACCTTGGGGCAAGACTCCAGAATGCAATTTCTAAAGCTATTAGGATACAGTAAAGATGAGCTTCAGAAGAAGGTAAGCTGCTTTCACATCAGAATCATGTACTTTATATGCAGAGAATCCTATCAGTGGAAACCATCTCAAATACCGCTTCCTGAGCTTCACTAAAGCTTATACAAACTTAACCTTCTGGAGTTAGGTTGTTTCTCAGGAAAATAGCTCAAGGATCTTACTCTAGTTGGTGGGGTTTGGAGGTGGAAAGAAAGCATGAGGCTTGTTTGACCTTGTGCTGGGGAGAGTGGCACTCACAAGTCTCTCCATGCAGGTGGCCGTGTGGTTGAAGAGAGACTCAGGGCTGGGTAAGAGCCCTGAGCCGAAGGGAGATAACCTCAGCAGTACCAGACATCAGGCCTTCTGCAGCCAGGTGTGGTAGGAGCCCAGCCAGACCTACAGTAGCACCGGATACCTGCTTTTAGGGCATTTCCCTCTTCCTGGCCCTCTGCTTTGCTCTCATGATGTGCTCAGCTTCTGTAGAAGTCCTCAGACTCCTTCCCCTGTGTTAGTGACGCACAGAGTTTCTAAGTCTTTGGGCTGGGAGTGAGCTATTTTAATCACGAAATTGAGCCCTTCCCAAACCTTATTTGCTTCTTCTTTTAGCTTTACCCATTGAAGGTCAAATATATTAGTGTTCCCAGAGAGAGCTATTAAGCCAGCTCTCTGTCTTTGGGGTTCATTTCCTAAGTCACCACCTCTGTCCTTCCTTGTTCAGGCCTCCAAACACACCACAGAAGCCTCTGCCTCCTCAGCTTTCTTTGATGAGCTGGTCCCTCAGAACATGACTCCATGGGAGATCCCCATAACAGAAGGTACCATGACCCCGGGGGAGAGAAACCCTCTGCATGGGAGTAGGTGGGCTCAGAGTTCTCAGACTTGAGGACGTTGCTTTCTTGTCCCTTGCCTCCTGCCTTCCTCCCACCATCTCAAATGCTGAGTGGTTCTGTTACAGGTTAGAGCTCTCTTCGGCTGTTGATTTTCATGGATGGATCCTTCCTATGGAAAGCTTTCTAAGATATTTTCTCAATCCTTCTGTGTTCTTGCTTTAAGGACTGTGACCCTGTCCTTGTTGAGCAATCAGATGTCATCTGTGATACTGCCACATGAGTTACTTCCTCATCTTGGGTTCTCTCCTTAGAGAGTAACCAGGACACCCAGGGTGAAACTTGGGAGTTTGTTTGGGGCTAAGGAAACTGAATATACAGACATAAGAGGCGTGCTGTGGGCTCTGCAGGTGATGGGAAGCTATGGTTCAAGGGCAGGTTAACATGGAGGGGATGCCTCTGCCCTCAGACACAGATGGACTCCTAAGCCAGGCTCTCCTGCTCGGTGAACTGGGCCCTGCTGTGGAGCTGTGTCTGAAAGAAGAGCGCTTTGCTGATGCCATTATCCTGGCCCAGGCTGGGGGCGCAGATCTGCTGAAGCAAACACAGGAACGCTACTTGGCCAAGAAGAAAACCAGAATCTCCTTGGTAACTGCCCACTGTGCAGGAGAGGAGAGGAGGGCATTTCTTGGTCTTTGTGAGGTGGATGTCCACACTTTGGGACTGGTGCTCAGAGGATCTGCCAAACTCTTTTCCCCACTCTAACCCTTAGCCCCTAGAACGTGGTCTAACAGGAAGCCTGCTCTTGATGGATGAGTGGTTGATGACCTCCTTCCCTCCCTGCCCATTACAGCTGCTAGCCTGTATTGTGCGGAAGAATTGGAAGGATATGGTGTGCTCCTGTAGCATGCAGAACTGGCGAGAGGCACTGGCTTTGCTGCTGACATACTCAGGGCCAGAGACATTCCCTGAGCTCTGTGGTAGGTGGCCCTAGGCTTTAGAATGGAGTGGTGTGACTTGAGTGTGGAGTCAGTGGACATGCTGATGGAGAAGGCAGAAGAGCAGCCTGAGCTCATGGCCAGGCCATGTTATCGGAGCCAAGGTCTCGTTCAGCTGGGAGGCAAGGACTATAGTGCATGCCCCTACTTTCACTTGTCCTGTTTTTCTTGTCACATCTTAAAGCAAGAGCTTTGCCCTTCATTGTAGAGCAGGGTGAGCCTCGGTGTTATCCAAAGCCACTGTGGCTATTTGTCCCATAGCTCATGATCGGCCACCCATTTCCAAATAGGGAAAGGAGGAGGAGCAAAGGAAAGCTGTGACATTAAAGAAGTTTCCATTTCTCTGCAGACATGCTGGGTAGTCGAATGGAGCAGGAGGGCAACAGGGCACTCACCTCCGAAGCCAGACTCTGTTATGTGTGCTCAGGGAATGTGGAGAGGCTGGTGGAGTGCTCGGCAAAATGCCACCAGGCTTCATCCCCCATGGCTCTACAGGTACCCTTTTCTGTAGGGCACAGTCCCTTCATTACAGACGCTAAGGAGAGGCTAGTGGTAGGGATATGCAGGGACATCAGAGCGAATCCTCTGGGTACCCAGGCTGGAGTCAGGGTATAGGGGAAAATAGAAAGGCCCTTCATGTCTGGGACCTTCTCCCAAGGATGAGCTGTCCTTCCCTCCCTCCTCAGAGAGACTGAGCAGAAGCTACTTGGGTATTAATCTCCATAATGTTTTCCTACTTCAGATTTGGTTATACAGGTTTATTCTGTATTTGAGTAATTGTGAGCCTGGGCCTCCTATTAACTGCTATGAAAAATTCTGTGGATCTAAACTGTACCAGACACCCCGCAGGCAACCACAGAAGATGGGGGTCACAGACTCACAGGGAGACAAAGTCACACAGAAAACAATACTATAACTGAGTCTGAAATCGCTGATGGCCCAGCAGAAAGGGTCAAGAAAGCAAAGAAAATAGGCAGAGATGCACGAGAATCTAAGATCCCGATGGCCTCACTTGAGCCCAGTGCTAAGAGCGTGAGAGATGAGGCCAAGTGGCCCTTCTTTAACTGTCATGTCTCTATATCAGCACCTTCTGTCTCCATCTGGCTATGGCCAGATCTCTCCTTCCCATACTGAGAAGTCCCTGGGTGAGCTGCCTGGGCTTAGAGAGCAGGATGTGTTTTGAAGAGGGCTGACTGCCCTCATCCTTGTTCCTCTAGGACCTGATGGAGAAGGTAATTGTTCTGAACGGGAGCTCGGGACGACTGCGGGGTCCTGATGGGGTGAGCCCAGGCCCTGCCACAACCTACAGGGTCACTCAGTATGCCAACCTCCTGGCAGCCCAGGGCAACCTGTCCGCTGCCATGAGCTACCTACCCAATGACTGTGCTCAGGTGAGTGGGGTCATGGGGAAAGAGCAAACCATTTAATTCGGTCATCTAGCACTGGCTGAGCAGTTCCATGTTCTAGGCACTATGCTAAATGCTGAAGTTTCCAGGATAAATAAAATCTAGTCCCTCAGGAAGCTCAAATCTCTGGGGCAGGGGGAAGAAGGGAGAGATGGAGAATCAGATGTCACTAACTCAATAGTGCCACCTGGGAACACAGGTTTGGATCATAAGGCCAAGCTTATAACCATAGCCTTTGGCTGTAATTGTGTTGGGAGGGCCCCTCCAAGCTGGATTTGCAGGTGGCTTTGCCACGAGAGGACCGTGCCCTTTCATTAGTCCAAGGCTTGAACCTGTCCAAACGCTGAAGCTGCTCTCCACACTGAGTGATTAAAATTGTTGAGCTGGACCTTCAAAGAGAAGTAGATATAGGGTGATCTAGGCAAAAAGAAAGCAAGGAGGGAGGCTTGGCAGGGATTGGAGCGATCTTTGAGTCATCTAAAGTGGCTAGAATGTCAAGAGTCAGCTGACATTTGAGTGCTATATGGGGCCAGGCTTGTAAGAGAGGATGTTTGCTTGTTTTAATTTTACTTAATTCAGTTCTTCATTATTATGACTTTATAGCCACCAATTCAGCAGCTGAGAGATCGGCTTTTTCATGCCCAGGGTGCTGATGTCTTGGGCCAGCAGTCTCCTCCTTTCCCCTTTCCCAGAGTCATTGTGGGAGCTACTCCCCACTCTAAGGAGGTGTTATCTTGCAAATTGGGATTCCAGCCTTCTCAACAGGTAACACCTTGTTTGTTCATTCATTAAAAAATACCAATTAATGTCTACCAAGTGCCAGGTATGGTTCTAGGCACTCGGAATATATTAGTGAACAAAAATGAAAACTCCTGACTTCATAAAGCACAGATTCAGTTACTTTTCTAATAACTGTTTATTGAACAATTGCTTGGCTCTTAGAAAGGTGCACAAGCCATGACCCTTGCCCTTAATTAGCTTATAGTCTAGTGGAAAGCAATTTACTCTGTGGGGAGTGGGAAGTTTAGGGAATATTTCAGAATGAGTATGATGTTTGATCTCAGTCTTTTTGTTGTTGTTAATCCTCACCTGAGTATGTTTTTCCCCATTAACTTTTCATTTTTAAAAATATATTTTTATTTATTTCAGAGAGGAAGGGAGAGGGAGAGATAGAAACATCAGTGATGAGAATCATTGATCAGCTGCGTCCTGCACACCCCACACTGGGGAGTGAGCTTGCAACCGAGGCATGTGCCCTTGACTGGAATTGAACCCGGGACCCTTTAGTCCACAGGCTGGTGCTATATCCACTGAACCAAACTAGCTAGGGATCCCCATTAGTTTTTAGAGAGAATGGAAGTGGGGGTAGAAACAGCGATGTGTGAGAGACATATTGGTTGGTTGACTCTCACACACACCTGACCTGGTCCGGGGATCGAACCTGCAACCCACTTATGTGCCCTTGACTGGGAATTGAACCCAGGACCCTTCAGTGAGTGAGCCAACACTATAACCATGGAGGTCAATGCTCTGACCACTTAGCACACCGGTCACAGCTGTTTGATCTCAGTCTTGAAGATTAAAAGTTATGTTGGCAAAGGAAGGGTTAGGTGAAGGCTATTTTAGGCAGTGGGAACAGCATGTACGAAAGCATTGAAAGGAGAGTGAGCAAAGCCCATATGAGGAATTGCTGATATTTTAATGACATTGCCAACAGGTCTTTGTGGCAGTGGAGTACGCTTAGAGGAAGCTGGAGAAACAGGAGTTATATATTATAGGAAGGACCTGGTAGTCTGAACTAAAGACTTAGACCTTACTCTGAAATTGATAGCAATCAGGAGCTATTGAATAGTCTTATGCAGGGCAATAACTAGACCTGTGTTTAGGAAGGGCAGAGCTAGAGGCAGTTAGGAGGCTATATAGAAAGAAACGATGAGGACATGAAATAATCTAAAGCTAGAGAGTGAGGTTGGATTTGAAATATTAGGACATAGAATTAACAGAAACTAATGATAGTCAAGAGGAGTGTGTGGAAGTGGGGAGACTGGCTCCTAGTTTCAGACTGGATGGATAGGGTGCTGTTAACTTATGATACCAGGAGCCTACTGGAGGGACTGGAGAACAAAATCCAATGAGGTTGTAAATAGAGGTATTAGGCAGAAGTCACATAGGAAAGAACTGGGAAGTCTCATGTATCCCCACCCCATCCCACCCTACCCCATGCCAACATCCTTCAACAACCACAGTGCAATAACAAAACCAAGAAATTGACATTAGGACAATTCATAGATACAGATTTGAGATACATATTTCACTAGTTTTATATGTACTCTTGTGTGTGTGTGTGTGTGTGTGTGTGTGTATAACCAGTAAGAACTTGTTTTTCATCTTTTAATAGGATCCTTCACAAAGCAAAAGTTTTTAATTTTATAGAGTTCAATTTATTGTTTTTCTTCTATGGATCTTGCTTTTTGTGTCAAGACTAAGAACTCTGCCTAGTCCAAGGTCCCCAAAATTTTCTCCTATGTTCTTTCTAGAAGTTTTATAGTTTTTTGTTTTACATTTAAGTCCATGTTACTTTGAGTTAATTTTTATTTAAGGTGTGAAATTTAGGTTAAGCTTCATTTTCTTGCCAGTGGATTTCCATTTATAGAAAAAGCTGTCCAGCCTCCATTGAGTTTATTTTGCTCCTTTGTCAAAAATTCATTGGGCATACTTATCTAGATTTATTTCTTAGTTTTCTATTCTGTTCCATTGATCTATGAGTTTATCCCACTAATAATACCACTCTCTTAATTACTACCTCTATGTAGTATACCTTGGCATGAGGAAGAGTAACTCCCCCACTTTATTTTTTTTTCAAAATTTCATGGTTATTCTAGAACCTTGCCCTTCCCACATAAATGTTAGAAAAAGCTTGTCTATGTAAAAAATTATTTGCCCATATAGATGTGTTTATTTCTTGTCTCTCAATTCTGCTTCATTGCTCTGTGTGTCTGTTTTATGACTAATACCATACTGTTTTTATTATTGTCACTTTGTAGTATAATTTGAAGCCATCAAGATCAGTCATTCCTGATCTTGGTGAATTGTATCTTTTCTCCTTATCATTGTTGGTTTTTATAGAGACTTGTCAATTTTGTTGAATTTTTTTTAAAGAACTAGCTTTTTTAAAAAAAATATATATATATTTTATCGATTTTTAACAGAGAGGAAGGGAGATAGAGAGCTACAAAAGTTGATGAGAGAGAAACATCTACCAGCTGCCTCTTGCACACCCTCTACCGGAGATGTGCCCGCAACCAATGTACATGCCCTTGACCGGAATTGAACCTGGGACCTTTTAGTCCGCAGACCGACGCTCTACCACTGAGCCAAACCAACTTCGGCAGAACTAGCTTTTTGTTTCTTTTTTTTTTTTTTCTATAGTTTTTTGTTTTTCAGTTACTTACCTTTTTCCCCCCTTTCCAAGTGTTAATCCTTTATTCTCTTCACAGGTTCCCACTCCATCTACAAGGCCAAGGATTTTCACACCCCAGTCATCACTAGTGATGCCCTTGGCACCTTCCCATTCTGGCCCTTATCAAGGCTCCAGAATGCAGAATATAAGAGACTACAGGGTACCTGAGCTCCAGGTTACCCAGCCTTTGCCCCTGGGCCCTGGAGTAACACCTGGTGAGTGAGTGATCCATCTGGGTAGAACGTAGAAGAAAACAATTGGCATGGTCAGCGTGGATTTAAGAAGTAGTGTGTCTATGTAGTGAGAGGAGTTAGGAATTTGAAGTCAGAATTCCCAGAACTGTCACTTACTGGCTTTGTACCTGTGGGCAATATGCTTAGCAATATATTGTTTCTTGCCGAAACCGGTTTGGCTCAGTGGATAGAGCGTCTGCCTGCGGACTGAAGGGTCCCAGGTTCGATTCCGGTCAAGGGCATGTACATTGGTTGCGGGCACATCCCCAGTAGGGGGTGTGCAGGAGGCAGCTGGTCGATGTTTCTCTCTCATCGATGCTTCTGGCTTTCTATCCCTCTCCTTTCCTCTCTGTAAGAAATCAATAAAATATGTTTTTAAAAAAAAAAAAAAAAATATATATATATATATATATATATTGTTTCTTTTGAAATGTACGAGTATTTATTATGTTGTTCATTTCAACCCCACAGGATTGTTTTGAGGGTCAAATAAGGAATACAGTCAAAAGTACTTTGTACATATTAGATATCCATATGCATGGGTATTAATCATTTTTATTATTATGTTTTTTAAAATTATTGCTGCCTAGACGTCCCTCATGTGCTCTGAATCTCTCTCACATTGAAATCCTGTTGCCCTTCAGCTTTATCTCAGCCACAGCTGTTAAGAGGGCAAGAGGCGCAAGCTCCTAACCCCCTGGGATTCCCTGGAACATGGCCTCTTCCTGGTTCCCCTCCACCGATGGCACCCCCGGGCCTCATGCAGCCTGACTCTGCCCCCCTGCCTGAGACTGCTCGCCTGCTTCCTTTCCTTCCGATGAGACCACCAGATCTCCGCCCTGTGAGTTCCCAGCCCCCAGGCCCTCCTGACAGCTTCCCTGTGGCGCACCCTCCAGGAGGCCCAGGCGCTCCTTGCTCCAGCACCATTCAGACCACTGGCATCTTGATTCCTCACCCAGGTCAGTCTTCTTCCCATGGCTTCCTTTTTCTCAGCCATTGCCTCCCTCCCCCCTTTACCCCTCCCCGCTGCCACCTAAGGGATCTTTCTCTCAAACCAATGAACCGGGGCTCCTTTGGTTGGAGCATGTCAACTGAGAGGATAAATGGTCTTCAGAGGGAGGTGAGATGGACTCCAAATAAAATAATTTAATGGTCTTCAGACAGAATTGCCAATGTTCCTGACCATGCCCCCAAATACTTCCATCTCTGTATTATACAGGACCTCAAGATTCTTTAAAAAATGCTCCAGCTTCCGGGGCGAACTTCCAGAGGAGGCAGGTCAGTGCACCTCCTTACCACCCCCTCATACATTTACCGGTGTCCCACATTTTAGTTCTTTACAGAATTCAGCCCAGTCCTTCCCGTTCTCAGGCATGCATTCTACTCTCTCTTTCCCCACTCATTCTTCTTCCCTCAGCCTCCTCCTCTTTCCTTCTTACATTGTACACCAGTCTTCCCACTTCCTGGTTTCCCACTCACTGTTCTGTCTGCTGTTCACTCATACTTTCTGCAGCTCTCAAATTAAGGCCTAGGGAGTCTCTCAGTTTAGACTCATGTGCCTCTCTTTCTCTATCTTTAGTTGCCAGAGACATTTATGTCCCCAGCACCAATTACTGCTCCAGTTATGAGCCTCACCTCTGCGCCACGAGGGGTCCTTTCCTCACAGCCCCCTGTCCCTGGTGTGGGTCATGCTCCCCCTGGAGCACCAGGAGAACTCCGCCTGCAGGTGACAGTGTGTTCCCTTCCCTTCTTCCAGCCCTCCTTGGGAATAGAAAAGCAGGGAGTGCCCTGGCAGGTGTGGTTCAGTAGGTTGGGCTTCATCCCATGCACCAAAATGTTGCCAGCTCGATTCCTGATCAGGGCACATGCCCAGGTTGTGGGCTTGATCCCCAGTAGGGAGCATGCAGGAAGCAGCCGATTGATGTTCCACTATCACATGGATGTTTCTTTACTTCTCCCGTCCTCTCTCTCTAAAAATTAATTTTAAAAAAATTTTTTTAAAAAGGAAAAGGAAAGCAGGGGCTTGGTAGATGGGCCTCATTCCTAAAGGTAGAGTCGGACTATGAGCTGGGGAATGGGGAGGGGCTGGCACCAAATGTCCTTACTGTAGAGGGTGCCCCCTACCCAACTCTGCTCTGCTCTAGGGAGAACAGTGTGTTGCTGAGTCACTTAGGACTAGTTCTTAGGGAAGCTACGAGAAAGACAGCTTGCCCATCTGTCCTCTCTCCGCTTCTTCCTCAGCAATGGCCACCAGAGAAGACGTACAGGAAGGAGCTGCCCCCAGAGCATCAGTGCTTGAAAACCAGCTTTGAGGCACTTCTACAGCGTTGCTCCCAGTGTGCCACTGACTTAGTAAGTCTGAACCTCCCTACAATGCCCTCCTCATACCCTTGCCTGGTTCCGGGATCCCTGAGCTCCAGAGCAGCTCTTGTGTGATCAGCTCTCTTCTCACTGCCCTGACATCTTATGCTTATTTGACCTCCATGCAGGGGGATGGGAGCGGGGGGAGGGACACTTGTTTGTTCTGAAGTCCAGCTTCTTGGCAGCAGGACCCAGCAGCATCGGGACCAAACTCTTAGGCAGCAGGGAGTACTCGAATGAGTGAAACCAGGAGTAAGGAAACTTGCCACGCATTCACTGGCTGTGTCGGCTTGAGCAAGTCACTTACCCTCTTTGGGCTGCCATTTCCTCCTTTAAAATGAAAGAAGTAGCCTTTAGCCATTTGGCTCTCCTCTACTGTGATTCTTTATAGTGCTGTGTAGGGTAGGTTGAGGGGCTAGAATCAGAACCCGTTTTCCTCCCTGTAGAAGACAAAACGGAAGCTGGATGAGGCAGCTCAACGCCTAGAATGTCTCTATGAGAAGCTCTGTGAGGGGACAGTAAGTACACTTAGTGGTGCGCCTCTGCCTCCTGCCCTTCCTCCATCCCCCGTGGCCAAAGGGAGCTCAGGTGTCCTCTGTCCTCTCCCCTTAGGTTTCACTGACCTGGGTCCCCACAAAATACATCCACCTCTCTCATCCTTCCCATGCCACAGGGCAGGGGCTGGTGTTAGCTCACTAACCGAAGGGCCAATCCCTCCACAGCTCTCGCCTCCAGTCCTGGCTGGGCTCCACGAGATTGCCCGATGTGTGGACACAGGAAGCTTTGAGCACGGCCTTGCAGTGCATGCCCAGGTGGTGGGCTGCAGCCGCTTCAGTGAGGTCTCCAGCTTCATGCCCATCCTGAAGGCTCTTCTCACCATTGCTCATAAGCTGCACGTCTAAGCCAGACAGCCTCTCTTACCAGGAGGGCACTGCTGCTGGGACTTAACTGTTCTCCCTGCGGAGAAGGCAGTTTCAGAATAGATTGTTTGTGTTTCCCAGCCTTCATTCTTGTTGCCAGGTATATGATGCTGTAGGCTTGGCTCCAAACTGGCAGAGTGCCTGCTTTCTATCCTGTGTGCCTGGTCCTCCATCTGTCCAAGGCTTGCTCGGCCTCTGAGGCAGAGCACAGGGCCAGTTCTGTACTTCACCTGATACTGTTCTCTGGGCCAGGACCTGGGGCAGGACGTGGGCACGGTGCCTTCTCCCCAGGGATATTCTGTTTAAATGGCTTCTAAGAGGATGAGCAGGATTCAAGTCTACCTCTGCTGTACCCATTTTTGGGTCTTCTGTTTTTCTCCTTCTGTGGGCCATGAGCCTAATCTTACCTTCTCCTGGCCTCTGACTTCATATTTCCAGTTCTGTATTTCTCTGAGTCCCACTGGCTGGAGTAGAGTTGACTGTTCATCCTCTGAACAAGTCACAGACATGAGGGCTGGGTGCTGAGCAGAACCAAGAGAAGGAACGCCAGCACTATTCAGGGCGGGTGAGGTTGGGTGGGAAGGGTGCACTGCCTTTTGCTGGGAGCTATCTTGGCCTTGAGATAGAATCAGAGGGACCACTTCCTATGGGAAATGGCCCCTCGTTGGTCTGTATGAACCCTGGTCCAAGGAGGGCTAGACCATTCATTCTGTGAGTATGAGCCCAGCTCTGGGACAGGAGCCATAGTAACAAAAGCCTCTCTTTTTAGCACTGCTCCTCCAGGGCGGGCGGCCCTCTCTCCCTCAGCCTCCGCATGTCTCAGGGCTGCCTTCTCTGGCTGCACTCCCATGGTTGGATGCTGCATTGGAAGCACTGATGTACCTCACGTGCAATAAAGCTGCTTTGATTTGGTTTCCTCAGTCATCTCCCAATAATTGTCTCCTGGGTCCTATTTTGCTCTTCTTACCTCTCTTCATAGTCCTCTGTTCCTGCACCTCAATAAATCAGGGGAGAGGCTTTGGGTCAGCTGGGGAATCAAGAGAGTTGAAGAAAGGAGGGTATCACCGAAATATTCTCTCCCTGCAGCACTGTGGCCATCTGCTGTGTGTGTATCTCCATCCGTGCCTGACGCTCAGCCCCAGGGTTTTCCCCACACCACTTCAGGGCCCAGCTCAGCCGCACAAAGGGAGCGGGTGTGAAGCCAGGGGTACTGTCTCTAATCCTGTCGTCGATCCCATCATGTCTGCGGGCTAGATGTGTGTGTTTGGGAGGAAGGGATTGTTAGGCAGTATTTGTTTGTAAAGCCACTTGCTCTTCAGATAATACTTGCACTAACTTCTATTGATGAAGCAGTGTGAGCCCCGGCAAAGTTCTTTCCCAAAGTGTCTTTGAAGCCAAGAGCCCATTGAAAGGAAGAAAAGCCGGGCGAGGGGATTAGTTTGTTCAGCAGCTGTGAGTTTCAGTGGGAGGTTGATGAACTCCGAGGTCTTTGTTTAAATTAAAGGGGTGGGGGGGGAGCCACGGTTGGAGCGAGAGCCCCACTTGGGGCCCTGAGCTAACACAAGGAGGCCGAGCTGCAGGGAGCTGTGTACTGACTGCGGAGACTTTTCCCAAACACTTTCGGAAGAGGCGTGGTGAGAAGAGAAGGGGGCGGAGCGGGGGATTAGCATGTGAAATGAAGTTTTCATTGACTCCAGCGGGGGTAGAAGGCTATTTTAATGGCATTTTGTTCTCTTATTTTCTCTCCTTGGGCTCTTTAGAGGCATTGTTTTGCTAAGGCAGGCTTTCTTCCCCCTTCTTTCCAGTCTGCGGATTGCCTCTATGGGAGCCAACATAAATATTTCTCCTCCAGGAATGCGGGTTAATTAAAAGGAAATGAATGAGTGGAAGCATCCAATCCAGACCCACAATAGGCGAGTGCCCTGTCCTGCCCTCCCCTCCCACCACCACCAGCACCACCAGCGCTGAGCGTGACCCTGTCTCTGTCTCTGCCCTAACCTGCTGCTAAGGCCAATTGAGGCTCAGATTCTTTTCAAGAAAAGAAAGCCCTGCCTGTGTGTAGGCTTTGGGGCCAGGGACAGGAAGGAGACAGTGTTTTACACCACCTCCACCCCCACCCCCAGAGTCCTTGTCACTTCTCAGGACCTCCCTCTGTTTCTGTCCCAAAGAGCACACAAGAGAGAAGGGGCCTGGGTTTCACTACCCACCCCATGGTCACTTACTAGCTAGTGGAACCAGCCAGACATCGTTCTCAGCATCATTTAAATCTATAAAACAAAAGGTTTGACTGGCCAACCGATGGGAAGGTGTTTTCCCAGGCAGCCATTCTGGAGTTGCCCACATTTGTAAGGGCAACACAGCCCTGGTGACTGAGTCTGAGAATCTAAATTCCATGAATGCAGGAGGGCAGTGTCGTGTTTACCACTCTGTTTCCACTCTGGTGTTTGTTGAATGAATGAATGGATAATGCAAGAAGTGTATGGGGGAGTTGGGTGGGGGGAAGAGAAGCAATACAAATGTAAGGTAACTCAGCAATGTTTTCTTTATAGAACTTGAATGTATCTGGTATCAAATATACCCATTTGGGAATACAAAACAACCTGTGAAAGAACTTTCTGGCAGTATGACATGTTTTGAGTATTGGCCTGAAGTTATCAAACATGAAGTACAAAACTTCTCTTTTATGCTGAGAGACTCCCCTGGAGAATGCAGCTTTCCTTTACCACACCGTGCTTCTTTATATCTTCTAGTTGCCTTGCCAGGTTTCTTCCTGTACACTGTCAAATAACTCCGCCAAGTGGGGTAGCCAGGTCAGTATCTGCTGCTGCTTGATGAAGGAAGAAGGGCAAGTTGGGAGACTCAAGAGATCCAGATCAAAGCCGAGGGAAGAAGCAAAGGCGTTTTGCTGATGCAGCTGGGAATGAAGCACTAGGGAGCCCTGAAGGGAAGTGTGTCCCCTATAGGGAAGGAAGGAAGGAAGGAAAGAAAGAGGGAGGAAGGAAGAGAGGGAGGGAGGGAAGGAGGGAGGGAGGTAAGGAGGGAGGGAGGAAAAGAAGGAGGAAGGAAAGAAGGAGGGAAGGAAGGAAGGAAGGAAGGAAGGGAGGGAGAGAGGGAGGGAGGGAGGGAGGGAGGGAGGGAGGGAGGGAGGGAGGAAGGAAGGGAGGGAGGGAAGGAAAGGAAGGGTGGGCCTCTCTTCTCATAAGTGTAGGTAGGACCAGAAGAGGAATAGGAATGAGGCCAGGGCCTTGGGGTCTGATCTGGCCGCTGTCTCAGTTTGGAATATGGGAGCCTCACACTCACCGGTTGGCCCCTAGAGCCTTGGCCCCTGTTACCTACTTGGGGCCACATCGTCTCTCTGCTTTCACCCGCTCTGGGTTGTCTAGCATCTGACCAATTCTCCTGAAGAGCAGCCCATGGCCGGCCTAACGGAAGAGAGTTGGCTGGGAAGCTCCTCGGGCTGCAGAGTGTCTGTCGGGGATTGGCTCTTCCCGTCCCATCGCCCTCTTTCCTAAGCAAGTCCCTGCTGTACCGCTTCTGGGACAAGAACCAGGACACTCAAGCACCACAGTAGCAAGCTCTCACTCCTAAGTGAACGTATTCATTGGAGATTTATGTGGCTGATTGACTAATCCCTGGCAGATTAGCCTCGGTCAAGCCAGAATGACTATTTAGGCCACGAGGGAAGTGAGGCTCCACAGAGGATGGTATTCTGGCAAGGTGGGACCAAGGGGAGGGCCCACCACCTTCCTCTATATCCCCAAGAATAAGTTCAGTCCCTGGAAAAAAGGGCAATATCACAGCGGCTGCAATACATAAAAAATCCAAGACACTGAACTTCCTATTAGTACTAGTTTCATTGCAGAAAGTTTACATATTCAAGGAAAGTATCCAAGGCCTTGAACCCTGCCTGTTTGAGAACCAGGTCAGTGAAAAGGAAGGGTCCCAGCTCCTCCTCTCTCATACCTGCCCTCAGAGGTGCACACCTTAATGGGGAACTGTTGTTACTGAGCTCAGAATTGGCTCAGAGGAACAAGGGTTCTGTGGGGAAGGAGAAGAGGTAGAGATGGTTGCTAGGGGGCAGGGAGGGTACTTTAAAGGGTAGGAAATGACCGGCCATCTGGCCTTACAGAGTTCCTAGACATGGTGGGAATGTGTCTGGAGCGCCTTGGCGATTTCAGGAAGGTCACCATCCCCCTGGTAAGTCCATTAGACACGGTATCACAGGGTGAGAAGGCAGCACTCTAGGTTACCCCTCTCCCCATCTTCAACCCTTGCCTCAAGAACCAGTCCTCTCACACGTGCTTTTTCCTGGGTCAGTTTTCTCACAGTTTCTCTTTAGGGAAAGAGAATAGGGAGAAAGGGAGAGAAAGCATTAGAGATTCCTGGGGAGTGGCTCTGCAGAAGGAAAATGCAGTCATGATAGAGACCTGGCAGCGAAAATGGGGGAAGGGGGGGGGGGTTTTTGAGCAAAATGGACAAAAGAGAGAAGCCATGGCTCCCCCCCCCCCCCCCCTTGCGGGCCCTGTGTATTTGGGCAGGGGACTTCCTGCTACTAAGGCTCCACAGGCTAGGTCCAACGTTAGGGCAACTAGGAAGGGGAGGAGGACCACCTATTCTCATCCTCGTCCAAAGAAGATCAATAGCTCAAACCTCAGAAAGTTCTCAGAGTAAGTGTGGGCCGTGAAGACCCTTCAGACAGCTCCCGGAGAGCGCCCCGGGACTGGGGGAACAGGTTGGAAAGTGACGGCTCCGGAGATTGCAGCGTCTCTCTCTCGGGATCCCTGGGCTTGCGAGTGAGGGATCCGCATCTCTAGGTTCCTCTATTGCTGGGGTCTCTAAAGGAAGCCGAGGACAGATGGGGAAAGGAGCGGGAGGGGGGGACCCCTAGGCGTTTCTCGCGGGTTTGTGCGCAGCGCCCCCCCGCGGCCGCTCGGCGCGGCTGCAGAAGTACTTGGTGACGCGCCGGCGGCACTGCTCGCAGCGCACGGCGCAGCACCAGTGGAACTTGCAGTTGCAGCTGGACACGGTCTCGGCGCGCCGCTCCTCCACCGCCAGCCCGCAGTCCCCGCAGAGCCGGCGGCAGCTGCGGCGCTCCCAGCGGCCGAGGGCCCGGCCGCGCCGCAGGCACTCGCGGCCCTCCGTGCCCAGCAGGCCCAGCGTCTTGTTCTCCAGGCAGTAGTCTGGGGAGTCCTCCAGGTGCACCAGCTCCCGCGTGGAGATGGAGCGAAAGGTGTCGGCGATGGCGCCGCGTCCCGCCGCGCTGTTGCCGGCACCTTGCAGCAGGTCCACCTTGAGGGCCGCGTGGTACTTCTCCTTCAGGTGCGCGCCCACCTCGCGGAACTCCGGCAGCTGCAGCCAGCAGGTCTGCGTGGTGCAGCTGCCGGACACGCCGTGGCACTTACACGTGCGCTTCATGGTGCCCTTCACCGCCTGGGGGGAGAGGGGGGAGCGGGCCCGGGATTTAGCGCGTGGGGAGTCTCTGCGGGGGGGGGGGGGCGGTGTTGAGAGGCGTCTAGTACCTCCTACGCCTTAGTACCTCGTTTTCCCAAACTTAAATAAAGTGAGGAGTTATCCTCACTTAGGGGTGGTAATGGGTGGAGCCAGCTGCCAACCCCAGGGGCTGCAGGACTCACCTTGCGGCCGGCCTCGTTGTTGTGCAAGTTCATGGCTGCCCGGGCATCCTGGCCTGTCTCCAGGGCATCCACGAACTGCTTGGATATTGCCTCTCCGAAGCCCACGTTGTCACTGCAGCCTCCCCACAGCCAGCCTTGACCTCCTGGAAAAGAGCAGGGGAGAGGGAAGGTCGTTGAGCAGCTATTTCTCATTGGGAATCTGAGATAGAGATTAAGGTTGGGTGAGTGCCTTGTCTCCAGATTAGTTTCAGCCTAGACTTGTTTTTGCCGCTTTTGAGCGCCCACGTTCAGCCTATCATCTGCTCAGGACTCCATGACGTAAGTAGTTGCCGAGTGGATTCTCTGCAAGGTGCCTGCGCGCCCATCTTCGCACAGTTTCTGGCCTTTTGGGCAGAGTGTGCATGTGCCCGCCAGCGACTGGCTTCCAGGAAGGGCAAAATGGCTGTTAGAAAGGCGAGGAACGCGGGAGCATTGAGAGGGAGAGAGGAGCAGTTGAAATAATACGGAACAACTAAGTTGGAAGTTGAGCCGCAGGGCAGGGAGGGTTGGGACCGTGGAAAGGAGACAGACAGTATGGAAGGATGTCCCCACTATGTTTGAGAGAGTGACCGATTGACTGCCCGGGGGATGTTGTTCCTTTATCATTGTTTGTTAAATTAAGGAAACTTAGTAGAAGACGGAGAGTCCATGAGGCATTTAACCTGGTTTGACACATTAGGGTTTGGGCTTAAACTGATTTTCCTCAGAGTTAGAAGAACATAATCTCTCTTCACCCCACCCAGCTACCCACCAAGCTTTCATTTTTTAAGTGGACTCTACTGGCCTGCCCTACCCACCCCAATATCAGTACTCACCCAGCTGCCCATTGCGGGAGTCGTCACAGCCACAGTTGTCAAAATCCCCCAGGCTGCAGTTTCGAGTCAGAGTGTACATGACGCCAGCAGAACTGATGGCATGAACGAATGCTGTCTCCCGGTTAGCTGGCAGGAACCAGAAATTGGGTGAGTTAGAGGGAGGAGTCGCAATCCAAAGAAATGCCAGCCATGCCACCTCCCTTTAATACAATCATCTGTTCCCCTGGGGTTGGCAGCTGGCTCCATCCATTACCACCCCTAAGTGAGGATAACTCCTTACTTTATTTAAGTTTGAAAAAAACGAGGTACTGAGGCGTAGGAGGTACTAGACGCCTCTCAACACCTCCCCCCCTCCTCCTCCCCGCAGAGACTCCCCACTCGCTAAATCCCGGGCCCGCTCCCCCCTCTCCCCCCAGCTCTACCCTAGTTCCCAGCTCTACCCTAGTTCCCCACCTTTGTAATGTTCCTTCCTCTCTCCAGGGCCTACTCCAGCCCTAGTCTCAGCCCTTCCCTTCTCCCCTCCCATCTTTTCCAGTCAAACACTTTGTGATTAGGTGGCTAGATTTCTGTTGATATATGTGGTTGTAAAGGATTTCAGTGGGCAAGAGCCTGAGAAAGAGACGAATCTGAAGGCCAGGCTATCAAGAACCCATCCCACTTCCTCCTGGAACATTGAAGTCTAAGAGGCAAGCGCCACCTAGTTCTGAAAGAAAGAACCTCTGACTGCCAGCTCTTTTATTTACTGGCCTGGCCACTCTCTCTTCTCCAGGGAAACTTGGTCTCCAAGTCTGTTCCCACTTGTCTTGTACCTCTCTGTCTGCTGAGCCTGCTGCAGGAAGGGGCCGAGGGGAATGAAGGATTATGACCCTACCTTCCTCCGGATGTTATTTATATTGTGAGGGAGCCATTAGCCAATTGACAAGATCTGTTTGGTGAACAGTGAGCATTTGGGGGAAGAAAGAGAAAAGCTCTCAGGCAGGAAAAAGGAGCTGGAGGTGGAACAGAGAAGATCTCAGAGAGGGAGATCACCTGCGGGTAAAGACCAGGTGAGGAATTGGGGTATAGAGGAGGCAGGGGCATCCCCAGAGAGTGCGGCCAGGGGGTCCCGGGAGTTGTGGCTGAGGCTTTCCTTACCACTGCGCAGGCCGCCATGGCTGGACAGCTGCAGGGCTCTCTCCGGGCAGTTCCAGCGGTCCCAGGCAAACTGGTATTTGCATTCTTCGATACCGCTCTGGGCACCAGCTGCCACGCTACTGGAGTATATCAAGTAAGCCTTCGGGGACACAGGGTCAGAACTCAGACTTACGGAAGCCGGACTTGGAGACATTTGCCCTAAAGTGGCCAAGCCCCTCTCTTCCCGCCCACTCTCCCATCCCTCCAAAATAATGGCAGAGTGAGCACTTTAAATGCGCTGTCCCATTTAACATCACCCATAATCTTGTCAAATAGGGACCATTTTCTAGATTAGGAATCTGAGGCGCAGAAAGGTGAAGTAAAGCAATTTGCCCAAGATCCCACAGCTAGCAAGTTTTAGAAGCAGGAATAAAATTCATTTTACAGACACTAGCCCTGACTTTATTCACTATACTCTTCTGCCTCTCCAGAGGGATCCCAAATCACATCATTCACGAATTTTCGCTTGTTCTCATCCCATCTTATAAAACAATATTTTGGAACTGGAGATGTCCTTAGAGATAATACAATATAACAGCAACATTGTACAAACTGCATTTTCCACTGCCTGAGAAGGTTGTGTGGCTGCAGCCTGACATTGTAAAGGGCTGTCAACTTTTCTGGCTTTAGAAATTCTGCTGTACATATAGAATCCATACTCGTGAGTCTTGCTTTGGCTCTGACACTAGATGCTATGTGGTTTGGGTTGTCACTAATCCCCTTTGTGGTACAGCACACTAAAAAGTGTGGATATATATTAAAAAATAATAATAATAAAATAAAATTTAAAAAAAAGTGTGGATAGAATGAAAAGAAATTACGTGTATAGTCTTCAGTTAAGAAGCTAGGATTAGTGACATAATCCTAGCTATTCCTAGATAAATTCCTAATAAATCAAAGGAATATTCCTAAACAATTCAAAGGAATATTTTTCTTACCTTTGGACCAGTCATCAGAAAATTGTTCACTGACCTGGAAGAGAACAAGACCACAAAACGTAATGGAGATGCACCAACTCATTGCTGCTGCCAAGAGCTGTAAGGATCACTTTAGGAAATATGTCTGATGGGAAGAAAGGGAAAATGGCTTGCGAAGGAAAGATTATGCATCAAGAGTCTACTAAAGACAACTTATTTAGTAAAAAAAACAACATGTATTATGCTCCTTTCCAAATACCAAAACTGCTAGGAGTAATGTTTGATCATTATTTTGCCATGAGTGGGAATAGAGCTAGCATTAACTCATTACTGTGTAACAGATGCTCTACTCGCAGTATTTTACATGTAAATTTGGTTAAGTCCTTACTATTGTAGGCATTATTACCCCAATTTTACAACTCGGGAATCTGGGACTCAAAAAAGTATTTAAGGTCACCCAGATAATAAATTACTAAGTCAGGTTGAATCCAGGACTATCGGGATTCCAAGGGGGATAGTTCTCTCATCAGAAAGATGTAAATAGTGGAATATCTTTCTAGGGATTGAACTATAATTAAAGTCCAAAAATAAATAATCTGGTTCTAGAAAATAGCTAGGCTGTTCCTTTCAAAACTAAAAATAGACTTGTCATATGACTTAGCAGTTCCACTCTTAGGCATTTATCCTTGAGAAATGAGGACTTATTTTTATTCAGGATCTTATGCTTGGGTGCTCATAGCACTTTATTCATAATAACCCAAAATATGAAAGTGTTTAAATGTTTTTCAAATAGTGAGTGGTTATAATAACTGTGGTACAAGGCCTGGCTGGTGTGGCTCAGTTGGTTGGTGCTCAGAGCATCATCCCATGCACCAAAAGGTTGCTGATTTGATTCTCCAGTCAGGGCACATGTCCAGATTGTGGGCTCCATCCATAGTAGGGGACATGCAGGAGGCAGCTGATCAATGTTTCGTTTATCTCATTAATGTTCACCCCCTCCTCTCCCTTCCTCTCTCTAAAAGAAAATCAATAAAAGTATTAAAATCACGGTGGTACATCCATACAATGGATTACTACTCAGGAATGAAAAGGAATAAACAACTGATGCATTCGACAACTTGAATGACTCTCAAGGAAATTATACTGACTGATCAAAGCCAATCTCAACAGGATACATGAGGCATGGTTTTATTTATGTAATAATTGTGGAATACATAATTGTGGAGCTGGAGAACAGATCTGTGTTGTTAAGTTAGTTAGGTCATTCCCTCTCTTACCTCTGTACTTACTTTTATTAACAATTTATTGTCTGTCATTGCTCTTCCTACTATGTTCACATTGCAACTCCATATTTTGTCAGTCTTTTCAATTCTCATTTTGGTAAATTAGAGATAAATGAGAAAACAAAAAGCCCCCAAACTTTGAAGCTTGGCAGGCAAAATTAAGTTGACCGAAAAGTACTACTCTCTCGGGAGTGATAGAACCAGCAAAGAACAAAAATAAATTAAAAACAATTTAAATGAATTCGTAATTGCTAAAGTCATTATGGGTTTGCAGATACATTTCTGAACCTGAAAGAGTGGTGTCAGAGGAGTCAGCCAGGCCTCTGGGTGCTCTGGCTCAGGGGGTGTTTTTTATGTTAGGCAACTACCAAAGACTCTGGGACCTTACCAGGCAAGACAGAGCTAGTTCCCATCCCCCAGGATAGACAGCGTCAGGAAAGCAAAGCAACAAAACAAATATCAAGTGGCAGACAAAGGAGAAAGCTTTGCCATGAGCCTGGGTGAAGAGACTCCCTGTGAGAGGATGCTAGGTTGGAATCACAGGGAATGTTGCGCAGAATACCAGAGGATTCTTCTTTCCTCAAAGGCCCCAGAATATGTAAAGATTTGTATGACATGCTGGTCTAGTTCAATTGATTAATCGGATTTAATTGAGCAACTGCCATGAGACACGACCGTTGGGCTTAGTTGGACAGCATTCCCATAAGTTGCATGTGTTGGAAACCCCTGAGTTATTTGCAGACACATTTGAACCACTGTGGCTGACTCACTCATATCCAAAATAGCCAGTATTAAGAAGCGATTCGTCGTGATGGATGTTAACTAGACGTATTGTAATGATCATTTCTCAATACACACACACATCAAATCATTGTGTTGTACACTTGAAACACAGAAGGACAACTATCTACAGAGACAGGGGAACAGGAGAAAAACCCTTATTCATGCCCATGGTCTTAACTACCATGATTATGCAATGTCTCCCAAATCTGTACCTCAGCCCTGACTTTCATCTTGAGATCCAGAGCTGTATTACCAAATGAATGCTAGACTTGTCCACTGGGAATTTTTCTAATTATGAAGACAGTATGTCTAAATGCCAACTTATGCCCAGCCGGTGTGGCTCAGTGGTTGAGCATCGACTTATGAACCAGGAGGTCACGGTTCGATTCCTGGTCAGGGCATATGCCCAGATTGTGGGATTGATCCCCAGAATGGGGTGTGCAGGAAGCAACCGATCAATGATTCTCTCTCATCATTGATGTTTCTATCTCTCTCTTCCTCTCCCTTCTTCTCTGAAATCAATGTAAAAATGTATTTTTAAAAATATAAATAAGTAAAAGCCAACTAATATTCCCTGTTGAACTTGACACTTCTGACTTGACTACGTTTTGTTAATAGAGCCACTCTTCCCCCACATCTCTCTCAATCCATTTTCACTATCTAATCAGTAAGTCTTGCATGTATTTTACCTCCAATATACTTTTCACTTACCAGCTCCTTTTTTTCTCTCTCATTGTCTCAGGGATTCTCACCATCATATCTTATTTGTGGCCTCCAACTTAGACCATTATAGAAGCCCTTCTAGTTGGCCTCTCTAGTTATAACTTTTACCCCATCACAATCCAGTGCATAGTCAGTCTGCAGTGAGATCAATCCTCTGAAAGCCTGATTCTGATATCCTGCTCAAGTATCTTCCTTAGTTTTTCAACTCTTGCACTCATGGCACTCCATAATCTAACCCTACATGCCTTTTCAGCTTAATTTCCCATGAAATATCCCTACTTGTCCAAACCTCTAGTCAAACCAAACCAGTTGCTATTCCTGAACACCATAAATTTCATGTCTCTAAGCCTTTGCTCATACTGTTCTCTTAAATCTTGCCTAGTCTTAGTATTTTCAACCAATGGTGCTAGAATAACTAATTGCAAAAGAATGACTTTAGTCCTATCTCACACCATATACAAGAATTAACTCAAAATAGATCATAGACCTAAATGTAGGCGTTAAAACTATAAAACTCTTAGAAAAAAACTACAGATATTAAGTTTTCGGGATCTGAGGTCAAGCACTATTTTTTTTTGTTTGTCTGTAAATCTGGTACAAAAAACAGAAGTGACCAAAGAAAACATTGATAAACTGGACTTAATCAAAATTAAAAAGTTTTGTGCTTCAAAAGGCACAAAAAAAGGAAGTAAAAAGACAACCCACTGAATGAAAATATTTCTAAGTCATATATCTGATTAGACACATTCAGAATATACAAAGAGCATTGATAGCCCAAGTAAGAAATGGTCAAAGGATCTTAAGAGACATTGATCCTTTGACCATTACCTTCTTTGACATTACCTTCAAAGAAGGTAAACAAATGGCCAACAAGTGCATGATATGATGCTTAACAGCATTAGTTACCAGAGAAATCCAACAATTATTACTTCAATCTTCTAGAAAATGGATGCTCCATCTACAGTAGTAATACATTGGTGAACATTCTCCTCTTTCTTTTGTATCTGGATGGAGCATCTTCCAGATTTGGTAGCTCTCAGAGCTCTCACTGGTCACTGCCCTGAGGGGCTGGGTTTCTGTGCTGAGCACTAAAATCAGATCTCTTTCCTTCCCTGCAGTTTTTCTTGGTAGTATAGAATGTTTTCCTGGTAATTACAGCTGACTTGCTTATGCCCATATTTCCCATACCAGGAATAAAACACTTTTGGTGGGTGGAATATGCCTCTACAAGGGTTCTGAGTCTTTGTCTAGGGGCCATCAGTCCTCTAGGAAACATGCTAACTACTTCCACTCACAGATGCTTTAATGACATTACTATTATTTTACTTAATATATATATATATATATATATATATATATATATATATATATATATATATATTTATATTGATTTAAGAGAGGAAGGGAGAGGAAGATAGAGATAGAATTAGCAATGATGAGAATCATTGATCAGCTGCCTCCTGCACCCCCCCCCCCCCCCACTGGGCATGTGCCCTGACTGGGACTAGAACCGTTAGCTCCTGGTTTATAGTTCAACGCTCAACCACTGAGCCACACCAGCCAGGCTATTTTACATTCTTAGACTGCCTCCATACTCTTGTCATCAATCCTGAAGTAATTCATTCTTTGGTCTGTACTTTTTCCTGCAAGCTTCTAATGCTATCTCATCATTCTCCCAAGTTTACCAATAGTAAGAATTTGCAAGAGCAATCAGGACTCTCTCTCCACCATTCATTCTGAACTCACACAATAATGTTTCACTGTAAGTAGTTTCTGCTCTCATTCCCATCAAGGCTGGGTAGACAAGTCCTTTTGTCCTCTTTCTGCCACAACTCCTCTACTATTAACATTTGCACGTTCTTTTCCTTTTATTGTGTATAGACTAAATCCTTGCTAGTCTCTTCATTACTAAATATCTTTTCAACTCTTGTTAGACAATAGATACAGATGCATTAGTCGTTTTGAGGCTATGGGGAACCGCTAAAGCAGAGCTCTGTGCACCTTTTATCATTTTCCCTCTGTATCTGCTCTAGGGACCAACACCAGAATGGCTATAAACTAGCCATCATCAAGCCACTTACAAAGTTTCTTGATCTATAGCTCCTCAAACACCCACGGCTTTCAGCATTATGCAGCTTCTCTCTTGGGCTATCCTTTCTCCTAAATTGTCTATTCTATAATATGTCTGATCACCAGTAAATTTTCCCCCTAGGATCCTGGGGCACCAAGAGGGGGGGAGGGGGCTTTAGATCAACCCAAATACAAA